TTCGTAATAACACTTAAAAGTCAATTTGAACTTTAATACCATACCATAAAGTTTAAATGTTAGTAGAGAGGTTCAGGAAAGACAAAAGAATTCAGTGACGTCAGTATCGTATAAATATTAATGTCAATATTTGTCAATATTTATAAGATGGTAACATTACTCAAAAACAAAATTAGGGTTCCGCGCAAAAAAATTGATATCCATGAAATCGTAGTAAATTCCACGCGGGCGAAGCCGCGGGGCACAGCTAGTTTTTATATAAAATAAGGGTGGCAAATTAGGAATGTGCTGTTTAAATGATGTTTTAGTTTTCGATTTGTTATAATCATTTAGTATTATATCACTAAATTTTTCTAATAAAATGCAATGTATAATACAAACATATATCAACCTAGAAGTGGCCGCTGTGGCTCATGCCGCGGAGCAAATACAAAGAGGAAGTGAGATTTCACTATGTAACAACGCGTGAGAATTTGCGGGGTGAACGGATATCAAGCCTCACCCACTTTACCATTTTCCATCTAGCGATGAATAGTAAAACTACTCGCATCGTTCCATATCGATGTTGCAATGTAGTTTAGCTACCTAGACGATAGATGGCGACCTGTTCACAAAATAATTATAAAAATATAACAATAATATTTTGACGAATAAAAATTCTTTAGGACTGAATACAAAACAAATTTTTAACACCTTCTTATGATTATTTTACTAATACTGAGCTCTACGTATATTTATATTTTTAGTTACCATGACACAAAGTGTCGCCATCTAGTGTCGAATATATTTAATGACATTTGAAAGCCGACGCAGAGATTTTTGTAGAACCTTTTTAATAAATTAGGTATAAAATTATTTACAAATGAAATGTAATGTCATAGCATCAGAGCGAGTATCTGACTAGTTTTTACACGATAAAACGCAACACTTCATCAATTTCTTCTTAATACTTCGAAAATACACCGATTTGCGATTTTCGGCACATAAGCGCACATGAAAAACGCTGACAGTATACTAAGTAAAGCCACGCCCATTGTGATGACGTCAGGACCTAGTTAGAATCACAGTGCACAGTTGCTAATGCCATCTCCTCTTTGTATTTGCTTCGTGGCTTATAGACACCTACATCTACTCTCAAATAAAAATCTAAATGAAGATACGTTGTCACCCGTGAGGACTAAGATGGAATGCCTTATTCTAGTAAAAAGGCTCCGGTTCTCTACACTCATCATACGCAGAATTAAGCTGTTATTTCACGTTAGTATTCTGTGAGAGCGTAGTGTTTCCCCAGTCGAGTAAATCTTTTGTCTCTTATCAATGCGTCCAAATTTTCTTGCGAAGTTAAGCAGTAAGAGTAAACTGCTATGCTTCAGTGGGAATAGGCGGTTTACATACGTCTTTGAAAGTATTTTTAATTTTTTAGACATAGTGGTTTTTACGGTATTTATACGTGGTAGAGCCATGCCGCAGCTATATTAGTAGTATAGTTGTAGCACGAATGGGTCGGCTCCACTACACTCCCACAGAATACCAGCGAAAATAGCAGCTTAACGCAGCGGTGTTTCGTATGGTGAGTGTAGAGAACCGGAGACACTTTTTACTGGAAAAGTGGCATTCCATCTTAGTTCTCACGGGTGACAACGCATCTGCATTTTGATTCGCAAACGAGGATAGATTTAGTGGGCCACAGCAACCACTTACCATCAGGTGGACTGTGTGCTCGTTTGTCACCCTATCCTACAAAAAAATCTCCTTTACCGTAAAACACTTAATAAAAAAATTGAAGGTTCTGGCACTGGGAATTGAACTACTGCTTGCCATTTTTATTTTATATTAAAATTAATTTAATATTATAATTTAATGCGAGCTGCCACTATCAGTCCCCCAGCAACCACACAATTTCTGAATAAAATAAAATAAAAACAAACACTCATGCCTGTCCCCCAGATAACTAGTTAGAGACTACGGACTTCCATTTAGCATGATAAATAACTTAATATATTTACAGAATTTTTTAAGAAACAATGCTATACATGAAGCTCTATCGAAAGATGGTGCAAACTTGAATATACTCCGGGATAAATACGAACGAGCGTGTCAGAGGAGTTCAAATAAGAAGTGTATAAAGGCCTGTTCATACGCCATAGAGTAAGATATTTTCTATATATTATTTTAGTGATGGCTTCAAACAAAGGAGGCTACAGAACCAAAGATGTCTCACTCTTACGTTTCAAACTAGACCGCAGTAGTGGTACAACTGCTGCTTGTAATCAGAAATAGGCCAGAGGTAGGTACCAACTGGGATGAACTCTTAAACAGAAGGGGGACGTACATGACACGTCACTAACCACCTAGCACTGTCGTATGTAGGCTTACCTGACCTTAGAAAAACTACGGATAATAAAGTCTTGCCTAATGTATGCAATAAAAATAAATTTTAATTTGAAATTTTTTATAATTCTTATTTTGCATCACATTGCATAACATCCAGACCAAGCCACCTCCCTATATACGCCAATGCTACCTAGGAAACTCTACCGTTAAATTAAATTCTACTTATATATCTGTTATGCAAAGGAATTGACAACGTGAATTAGCGGCTTGTGTATCTAAATTTTAGATATAGCTCAAACATTACATTAGGCTAAAACTTTTGATTAGGTTAGGACTGAGGAAGGACCATGCTATCACAGAATACCAGCGTAAAACATTAGTTAAATGCTGCTGTGTATCGTATGGTAAGTGTAGAGGACCGGAGACCGTATTTACTAGTAATGAGACATTCTATCCTAGTAGTCAGGAGTGGCATCGCATCTGTATTTTGATTCTTAAATGTAGATATATATGCGCCATTGCATTCACTTACCGTCAGGTAAAATGTGTACTCGTTTTTCACCCCTATTCTATAAAAAAATATAGTAAATTGTTTGTCCTAAAATAGTGAGGCATCATGTCGGTATTATAGAAGCACTTAGGCCCGTATTAATAAAGGTTATTCAACGACGAACTCAAGTGCGTAATCATTTGATACGCCCTCATTACGATATCAGCATCTCAAGATCGTTGCTGATTAATAAACACATAAAACCAGTATCTCAAAACGCTGTACTCAGGAATACTGTTCTGTGACTTGCACTCAAGTACACACACTTAGGGGTCGAGTTTCGTTTATTAATCAGTGTCACACTCAGCTGATATCGTAAACGTAAATCGCATCTTGAGATTTGTTTATTAATAAGATCATAACCTCAAGATTGTACTCAAGTGCGTGTACTTGAGCTGAGTAACGTTTATTAATACAGGCCTTAGAGTATTAATAACATATTATATATGTGGAAATTGAAGTTTAGAGAGTGAAGTAATCAGTACACCTCAATCTAATTCTTAAGTTGCTCACATTGGAACATTTATAATATTACTTTTTTGTGAACATTTCAGAGGCACTTGCAAGAAATACAAATGCATGAAGCGTAAAATAAAGAAATTCAAGAAGATCTGCAAAAGAGAGTGTAAGATGTCATTCGGCATAGAAAGTTCTTCACGTAGCTCTGAATCTAGCGATTCGAGTGACGATGATTCCACAACTGATTCAGATTAGAATTATATAAGTCAATAGTTAATTAATTAATTTATTTTTTGAATATCTAGAAGGGATGAGTTTCGTCTTACCTTAAATTATAGGCATAAAGAAGAAGACTTTTTTTTTTGAAGAATTTTTACGAATGTCGAAAAGGAGACGAGGATTTCTGGGCCCAATTTGTAATAAGTTGATATATGGTTTAAAAAAAGCGTTATATTTTTCTATTTAAAAGTATAAAAAATTAGCCCAATTCACAATATGAAAGACGAGAAATCTTAAAAATAAGTTTATGTCACGAATAAAATAGGAAATCGATTACTTTAATCGATTAATGTGAATGAGTTTTAACAATTATACATAAAAACAATTTACACTAGATGATTGATTCAAGCAAAGTATCTATATAAATGACAATTAACATAGTGTCAACAGTTTAAAAAATAAAATATCAACATAATAAAAATAAATCTTAAAATCGATTCTCGTTTACAGTTCGATTTATTACTTTTGTTTGTCAACTGTATTTTTAATCTGTACTGACAGACAGCTCCTTCAATCTATGATCTTTACTCTCACTACTTCAAGAAGAAGCTGATGAAGATCACTCGTCTCGTATCGTAATACGTGTGCGTTTTAGTGTGTTTCCCATTGTTTTATTGATTTATATTCCTCGCCCACTGCTTTTATTTTTTCAGACTTCTGATCTTATTTAACTTGTACGATCCGACCCTTGCTATCATACTGAACACTGATAATCTCATTTACTCGTTAGACTTTAACTCATTATTGAGGATTTTGCGGCCTGGATTTTATCGATTAGATATTGACACAATTTAATTAATAAATAAGATGCTGTGTGAATCTTGGCATAGCGAATAGTCCCTGTAATACACTAGGCCGACGATCCTTAGTTAATGACACAACACTAGCAGTGATTAATGGCGTACATCACAATTTAACACTCTAATTGTGAGCTTTATATTATCCTCCCACTCAATATAATACAATAAATAGTGCAATTAAAATAGTAAACAACTGTCTAATAAAACAAAATAGCAATCGCGCTTCAAAACCAGCTGTTTAGTTTAGGTTGTTGTTAACTTGTTGCATAACCTCACTTTTACAAAATTTCTTATAACTCTGCTCTCGGATTGCCAAAATCCGCAGAATTTTCAGTAATGTTTTGATAATATATAAGCTAGCTAATTGACACCATTTTCATCTCTTTACAATCTGGGCCCAAGAATGTATAAAGCGTATCAGTCTCCTGGAAGGCTTTAAACCAATAAATGTAAGATACAGAGCCTTTACTTTTATTGTTTTTTTTTTTGTTGATTGCATATATCAATAGCCATTTAATCGTTAAGCACGAGTGCCAAGGGCAATAAGTGCTATTAAAAATATATATAATTTTACTCACGCAACAAGTCGGCCCCGTACTCGCAGTTGGCAAGATGGTCGAACATGGCTGTTAGAATTGGCAACAATACACCGTTGATGTAGCCCAGGGAAGTCGACGTCTTCAAATGAGTACCGCGTAAATGTGCGTATTTGCCCTAAAGAAAAAACATAACACGTCGAATTATAATATTTTTAAAAAAGAACTTTGCATATTATACTCAGGTGCAAGAGGAACAACTATTAAAATAGGAAAATATTTTAAACACAATTTCAAATAAACGTCATGAAATTTAAAAATATACGAGGGGACAGAAATAGATATTCCTTGATAGATAATTTGAATTTGATTTTAATTATAGACATTATATTGTTCAATAGAACCCTGTCTTTATTAGCCTGTAATAGTCAACTACTGTACTTAGCCTCTACTGTTGTAAGAAAGATTTGTCATCATTAATCACAATCACAATGAATCACCATCTAGTGAATGACGCGTGATCTTTCTAGCTTTTCCCAAGGCCGCCTCTTAAAACGCTTACGAGAAGAAATGTGGCAATGGATTTAATTATTATTTTTTCCTTTATCATTTGATAAAAGTCTAGAGCTGAACATGATCATGACGATGTAGGAAAAATCTCCTATAGTTAGGTCATTAAAATGGTCGAAGTGGAAACAACATCAGTATATATTTGCATAAGAGGATAGTAATGTCCATTTCTCTGTGATAGTAGTGCATATGCTATCAATAAACCCTTTACAATTATATGAATAAAATTGTTTCTATTACATATAAATGTAAAGGATTACAAAGTGGATGATCATTACTCTCGAGAGCTGCCACAAATGGTCCTGAGCCACCTGCATGCACCGAGTTCCTGAATCTCTTACCAGTTCGACTAGGTAGGTCAGTCCCACTTCGACCTAGAGGTCAATCAACGAGTCCAATTCGGCTGAGCAGCTTTCGAGAGATTATGGTACATCTTCTCGTCAGGTAGTGTGTACAACCAGTCCATGTTGCCAGTGATGCCAATGTATGAAAAATGTTTATATAGATCTAAAGAATGAAAACTTACCTCTTGTAAATTCAAGATGGTGTGGCCAAGATCATCGGCAACGTTATTGAAGAACGTCAACATTGACGTCCTGATGAATTCGGGGCAGTTCTTAACGAGTGACTTAGCATCAATGCCCTTCACCAGTACTTGGAGACAGCGAACTGTAATTCGTACGTCCGGACCGAAAGCTGCCAGTCTAATACAATGAAAAAATAATATTAAAAAATATTCTTGTCAAGTAATTTAAAAGTAAATATTATATTGCAAGATTTATAAAAGCAAATCACAAACATTGATGTATAATGTAGGTACTGTAGTAGTAGTACATAATATTTCTTTAATGATCTTAAAGTAGATGAAATAAACATATTTCCGCTGTGTGTCGGCATCGTAAAAAATCCATCAGCCCAATTCGTCCTATGGCTGTGATAGAAGCGACTATGGGATTTCCGGAGGCATTTCTATGGCATTTGCCGGAAAAAATGTAACGGCTTCAGATAGATAACGGTTTAAATATCTCGTTTGTGACCGACCTAAAATGCCGCGACCACAAAATCGCAACATCGTCTAATGTGCTCACGTCAAGGTTTTACCGTCATTTAGAGTTATTCAAGGTTGTATTTACATAGATTTTAGAATCTCAAAGGCAGTATTTTCATGGTTTCTCATACGGCGTTCTTCGACTGTCTTATTTGACGTTCCATCGGAAAGAGATGTTCCCTTAAAGTCTTTCAGTTTTAAACGATAAACTGAGTTTATCAGCCAAGATCGTTAAAAATAATGAAAATTAAGAACGGAGACGTTTTATCAAACCCCAAATCAAAGATGTCAAGAGGGTTATTCCGGCTTGCTTTTAGGACGGAATAATAATTAACTTCTCTATTTAGTATAAGTTTCTTTTTAGGTTAGTAATTTAACTAGTGCTCTCAATTATACATTTTTATTTTGTAATAGTGTTAGCAGTAATTAGTATAAGGTATGATGGGATTGGAATGACACTTTGACAAAAATCCCAAAAAAACATTAAAGAAAAAATAGAATGGGACGATGCAGAATCTCTATATTACTATCATTTTGTTGTAGGTATCATCACGTGGGTATCGTGAGAGTTGACAGAGGACAATATGATGTGAGGAGCAGTAGCCTCTTCACGATAACTCAATAATAATAAAAATGCGTTTGCCAAGCCGCCTGACAAGTGTGATAACTGTAGTAAACATCCTCCTTAGGAGGCAATCCATCCAATAAAGAATGATGAATGAATAATAAAAATATGGTTTCCATGCACACGCCAAGCATAGATTACTAAGGCAAATATGTTAGATACTAGTTCCCCGCGACTTCGCCCGCGTGTGATTTAGGGTTTTAATTATGTTGCGCGTAACTCTAATTCTTTTTCTAAAATATAAGTAGCCTAAGTTACTCCTTATAACATCAGCTATCAGCTAGTGAAATTCCCGTCGAAATCGGTCCAGCCGTTTCGGATATTAGCCGGAACAAACAGACAGACAGACAAAAATTTAAAAAATTGTGTTTTTGTTATAAGTACCGTATATACTTTCATATGCATTGAGTAAAAAGCTGGCAATTTGACATTACAAACAGACACTTCAATTTTATTTATTTGTATAGATTTGCCATACATATGAGGCAATCTATGGGAGGGCCTTCCAGCAATGGACTTGTGATGGCTTGTAATGGATGATGAATAAATGAATAAAATGACAAAGTTCTCGTCGTACCGTGATCTCAACAAACTAGCCAGTTTGCAAAACAACGCCGCCACCATTTCCTTCTCTTTCAAACTCGCCGCTCCAACGTTATTCGTCGCCGTCGCCACCGCTATGAAGTAGTTGCGGTGTGTCGAGAAATATTTCTCCATAAGTGGCAATACCACCTGAAATAAAGCATTTTCATGAAGATACATAAACAGAAGTAAAGGGTCACAAAGAAGCATATAATTCACCTATGTATATAGCCTTGGGTACATAATTAGCGGATACAATCATAAACATTATCATTACAACAGTGGCTAGGGCTGCAAACTAGGGCAAGCCTAAGATATGGTTTTGTTGTTTTTAGCAGTTTTATAAAAATACACCAATCTTGATCTGTCTCCACTCTTCAGTTTCATATTCAGTATTGTCGAGGACGTGTTTAACAAGGCTACGAGGTCATGACGTGTGTAGAAGAAAGGAGCGCGCGGGAAATTTGAAAGACTTTGAAACAGTTTGATATTATTGACTGAGCAGTTTGATAGGGCAAGCCCGACTTCTTGGCTTCTATGGAGGCTTCACTACCGCATTACAACATAAAAACAGTTCTGAGCAGGGCTTCATAACGCCCCCAAACCTCATCATCATTATTATACCCAATCACAAGTCAGCTGCTGTAAATAGGCCTTTCCACAAGGTATCCTATACAACACGGTCTTGAGCCACCGGCATCCATTGACTTCCTGCATCTTTTACCAGGTCGTCACGCGATCTAGTAGGGAACAGACGTAAACTTAGCTTCACGGTACGAGGCTGTGCAATTTTTTCTTTCAAAAGTTGCTTTTCATTATACAGTGGGCTTCATCACTACTTACCACCAGGTGGGATTACCTATAGTCAAAAACTGGATTTAAATATGTTAAAAAATGTAGTTTATTTGGATTAATTGAAAGAAATAACCATGACAGATTATTTCGATACGTACATACCCACGGAAAGAAGTGAACTTGAAAAAGATTGTGTAATGTGGCTGCGAAATTGGGTAATCCTTATTGGTATAATTAATAGAATCAGGCGTTACTTTGCGGAAATCCATTATATAAAAGCTTTTAGAAAAATTTCCTTCGCAAATATCTGCGTTATAAAATAAAATGATGTGTCTTACCTAGTATGAAGAGCACCTGCCGCCCTCCTTCAATTGCGTGCACTATCTCCGTCACCACTAATCCCAGCACCGCTACTCCCAACACCACTACACTAGGCAAGACACACCACTGACAATAATACGACACGTGTTTCGCCTCTACACGAGGCATCCTCAGGTGATATAGACTCTACGGTGGCTAACCGCTAAGACTTAGCGGTTAGCCACCGTAGAGTAGAGACGGGGATAGTGCACGTAATTGAAGGAGGGCGGGAGGTGCTCTTCATACTAGGAAAGACACATCATTTTATTTTATAACGCGGATATTTGCGAAGTAAATTTTTCTAAAAGCTTTTATAATCCTTATTGGATTCAAATCCAATCAAAAAAAGATGCTTATTGGATTATCCAATTACACAAAAGCCTTTTTCTTTAGCAAGCGATGTCAAATCTAAGCAAATAACTATCGTATGATCTAGATTTCTTATGTGTTTTAAAACTATTAGCATCTGAGAGGAAACAATATTAAATTAATTATACTGTTGGAGGCTATCCGGGCTGAAAAAAATTTGAAGAATAAGTTTTTAAAGATCTATTGCTCTCGCGCTGTGCCTGAACGAAAGAGTTAGGCTACAGAAAGAGACAACTGCACCTCTACTGACTATACCTATATTAAATTTAAGAAATCATCATCTCGTATTTCCCCTGTTCTCGTCTTCAAAACTGTACCAAATAAATTTTTTTTTCAAGAAAAAATTAAGGATTGTGTTTGTGGTATCGTTTTCTTTTATTTTTTATGTTCGCTGAATTTAATAGCTGGACGTCTAATATTGGTGGTATAAGTGGGCAGTTTTAGTAAAAAGTTACAAGTTTTAAAAGAATCTCGTAAAAACATAGAAACAAGACAGTAGAAAAAGATTGAATCGTAAAAATATTTGCTATAGTAGTCAGTATCTAGGGTGAGGAATGTGTTTATCTTGACTAAACGCAGCTCAGATACCCTTCATTGCCTAATGACATTTTTTCCATTTACGTAAGCTTTACGCGTATCAAGCAACACATTATACTATTACATTTAAAACAAAAACAGCTACAATAAAATCAAAAATATGTAAGTTTAAATAAAAATTTCTTCTACTGGTCATATATTATTTGTACTGCTTCATAAGTATACATTCTTGTATCTTATATTCATTTTTTTAAGCACTTTATTGTCGTATTTATCAGGCATTACTTTTGAAGCAGAAAAGAAATTTCAATTTCTGAGAGAGTTAATTGTAAAAATCATTAGTTTATACTAAATCTATGGTAAAAATAATGTTTTTTAGATATTGCGCATTTATACAATACAATGATATACAACCAGGTATATATTATCTTGCAGTTGTATATATTTCCTTTTCTTTAAAGAAAGATATCCAACCTTTAGAACATCAATCTATTTTAAAACAACATCGACTTGCAATAACTAATTAGCATTTTTTTTTCTTCAGTTTATTTTAAAATAATTTAAACAATCATTTTTAGCATATTATACTAAGCATGTTATGAAAAGTAATGCACAACTAAATTCATTCATTCCGTCTACTGCAATTTAAGCAATTAATGGTTTGAGTTTATTAAGTGGCGAAGCTTGCGAAGTCACTTATTGATTTCACGATGTCTGTCCGTCTGTCCGTCTGTCCGTCTGTCCGTCTGTTACCCGATTATCTCGAGAACGGTGTCGAATTTTCAAATTCTGTTTTCAGCAATCGATTACTGATCACCCAGGCATCTGAACCTCCTATTTTGAAACTGATTGTTCAACGGCAACCGTTAGAAACCGCTACAAAGCTGATTGCTTCGCCACTTTGCTATGCTGTTAGCTTGCTAGGTTTATTATATATATATATATATATATATATATATATATATATAGGTGGTAAACAACGTCGCATCAAATACCTTCTTGAAATACTTTAGTTCCGACTTGTATGGCTTGTAATGTAGTAAAACAAACCGTAATTAAATGTAATTATTAAGAAAACATCCAGAAAAAACAAAGTTAATTATAAATATCCAAAGATATTTAAAACGAATAGATAGATACGCGAAACTGAATACACAAGTATCTACAATCTTTTATGTCTCTGTGATAAAAATGTTGTATCTACCGTTTTAAACATCATTGCAAATATCTAAGAATTTATGTAAACATGTTGAATAATTAAGTATTTTTGACAATTTTGATATAGAACATTTTAAATCAATCACATATTAGTAAAAAGCGTGCCTTAAAGAATTATATTATAAACGTAAAAGTATTATTGACTATGCAAGTAATTAATTACTGAATTTATATTAAAAATGTAATACTCTGAAATGTTTTTATAACCGAGACACGCACGTTTATAAAATTAAAACAACTCACCTTAGAGAAGAATTTAATATCCCTTGTGCTGGTCTTGAAACTGGATCGGCGGCTGAACGTAGTCGAAGGCTTCAACAGTTTCATGTTGATTGTCGCTCTGTCAATGTATTGAATAAGTTTTTCTAGCAAAGAGTATGCGAATCTAAGCTCTATTGCGACACCGGTTGCGGTCTGTTCCGTGTCACTTTGAGACGCTTTGCTCGGACGGTGTAGTTTGTATCCTTGATATTGGAGATATTTGAGGAACTCTTGCGAGCGTTCGCGATCTTTCTTCTTTTCTTTGTCAGTCAATAAGTCGTACGGAACCAGCTGAGGATGAATACCGCCTGTAAAATAAACGTGTAACATAAGTCGGCTAATAAAATGTGTGTATATAAAAGATGCTAATAAAACATGTAGTGAGAAAAATAAAATGACAACGTATCGGATCACTATAGAAATATATAATAGCTGTGATAATAGTAGGCATCAATTTTATTTGGGAATTGGCGAACGATCTGAGTATTTAGAAACATTGGTTGCCAGTCTTAGTATTCCATATATTTTTTAAAGAATAAAGAAGACAAACATTTTATAGACTTTTGGATATTGTACAGAATCTCAGCCGCCGCCGTCACCATGCCGTTACCGAGAACGAGATGACGTTGCCGAAGTATTTATATTTTTTTATAAAATAAGGGTGACAAACGAGCACACAGTCCACCTGATTGTAAGTGGATGCTGTAGCCTTTAGACATCAACATCTATCTTTCATATATGCTATATACATGGGTTGACCGGTAGACAATGCTGGCATTAAGTTCGCACTTTGTAACTTTTATGGTTATCACAATAAAGTTTTTAATTAATAAATGAAATAAGTATACCACGTATATCAGCAATTCAATTTTAAGACTTAATGTTCGATATAATACATAATTGTGGCTCAATGTCAGGGACATTTTAAAATGATAATACTTGTAACTGTAACGTAACTGTAGGATAAAGGTGTTGCGCTGACTAAGTCAAGTTCTGTAGTAGATGGTTGGTGATTATTTATTGCTCGGGGTATCCCCGTTGCAGCGCGACATGCTCATTGTTCACAGGGAAAGAGTAGAAGACGGTACTGAATTTACTGGTAATGGAACATATTTGGACAACACCCCAGATGCCTTCAGTCTTTCTATGTATTTTCTTTCCTGACAGGGGGTGTAAGTGCATCTCCTTGACTGTAGTGAATATGAAAGGCTTAAAATATTTCTTCTTAATTAGCCCGTAAAAGTCAACTTCTGGATATGGGCTTCTGTCCTACTATTACTACTAATGTTACTACTGGCAGTCATTAGACTTTCCTAAAATTTTCCATAGTCGTTTCTCAAGATACGCACGGGAGGAAATAGCTTAATAGATTCTCTTACGCCCATCAAACGGCAGAAGCGAGACTTAAAATATTAGCATTATAATGCAGTCGATTTTATTTAACTTACGTCTTAAATGAAACTAATTTTTACGGATTTTATCGCTTTTAATTTAACTTTTTACTTCCCTAGGTTTCGGGTGCTAAACGGGTCCGAAACGTAGGGAATTAAAAAGTTAAATTAAACGCGATAAAATTCGTAAAAATTAGTTTCATTTAACTTACGTCTCTATATTCTATATTATGTTCAATGATAGTTGATAAAAAAGCAGAGTTTCTTAACTTGTAACAAATTGCGGCCCGCTAACTACTTTTGCTGATAGATGTAAGGCCGGCAACGCACTTTCAATTCCCCTGGTGTTGCGGTTGTTCATGGGCGGCGGTAGTTACTTACCATCTGGTGAGCCGCATGCTCGTTTGCCAAAACATTTTTGCATGATTGACAAAGCTGCGAGCCTCATACCACAAAATTCTGTTCTTGTGGCGGTAAGCGACGTCCGCCACACAGATATTTAACTTAAACGAGAGTCGGTCGACGATTTCATGATATTTATCAACTTTTGCCGAACAAACAGACTAGCTTAGTAATAAAATATAAAATTTTCACCTCCGTTAACAACCAATTCCTCCTTCTTCTTTTTGGCCCAGATGTCGTGCGCGTTTTCTGCCAGCCTCTCTGCCATGTTCTGCATCTCCCTCGACAACGTCAAGTTTGTCATGTCGACTGGATGTGGGTTGTAGTTGAACGGTGTCGCTGAGTCGGTCTGTATATTTTATAATTGTTTTTTTTTAAATATTTTGCATAGACAAAAGTCAGCTTAAAATAGGTGGAAAATTGTCCGAACATATTCTCATTAATAATTAAATAGCATCCTAAACTCATTCAATAAGAGTAGTTAATTTTATACAAGAGATAATTTGCTCTAACTCAAAAAATATATTTATATTTTATTTGTTTATTTTTAATTGTTGAATTGAATGAAAGAAAGATGAGAGATAATAAGTGTAGCAGTCATAAACTGCCACACTTACATATCTATATTTCTATATATAGAAATCAACGCTGCAACATGCCATTTTGTAACTTGTTGTGAATGGTGTACCTGATTCATAACATATTTTTTTTATTATAGTTTAGTATTTTATTCTATTTAGTTTTTGTAGTCTATAATTAAATGTGCTCTGATTACGATGCCCTAGTCCTACCATGCCGACATATCCTAATCTCTAAACTTTAACATAGACGGTTCCTATTAAGTCTTGATGAAGAGAAAGAGAGGAGGAATTAGAAATGAAGAAGGCGCCGCGTCCGGCAGCGATTGGTAACTTTTGTTTGTCGACTTTAGTTTCATATGAGATGATGATTAGTCGAGGGCTAGGTTGTCCAAGTCATCATAGGAGATAATGGCTGGCCGAAAGGACGTCTTAGCTGTGTTAGTCTGCATTAGGTCAAACGTAATCTCCTTGCGTATATGCGTGGGTCTCTAAATGTCCAAAGATAGGGACAGTGTACCTATTCATGCCAGGATGGACGAGCTGACGAATTGATGATTAATAGTGTTTGTTACAGGAATCCACGAAGACATACGCCCGTGGACGGTAGTATGTGTCAGAGTTGGCCATGTCGGCGCGTCTATAAAATAACTGTTGGATTGAGAGTGAGCGATGGTTGCGTCAGTCTAGCGAAGCGTCATATCTATTGTGGCGAGATGGAATTGAGGATATATCCAGTAACTTGTTTGTGCAATATAAAGTTCCTCATACGCTTTCCTTCAAAAGCTTGGCGTGCTCAGCAGAGCGAGACAGTATTTCATGCCGGCACAACGCCTGCAATTTTACACGGCGCAGGTTCGGCCCCACATGGAATACTGTTTCCATCTCTGGGCCGGCTCTTTCCACTTGACCGCATCCAGCGCAGAGCGGCTCGAATCGTCGACGACCGAGTCCTTTCCGATCGGCTCGATTCATTGGCGCTGCGAAGAGATGTTGCATCTCTTTGCATTTTCTTTCGCATTTACCACGGGGAGTGCTCTGAAGAGTTGTTCAGATTAATCCCAGCCGCCAAATTTCACGAACGTACTTCGCGGCAGAACTTCCGATACCATCCACACCATCTGGATGATTGGCGGTCCACTACTGTGCGATTTAGAAGAAGTTTTCTTCCTCGCACAATTTCCTTGTGGAATAGTTTACCACCAGCGAATTTTCCGGACCGATATGACCTAGGGACCTTCAAGAAAAGAGCCTACTCCTTTTTAAAAGGCTGGTAACGCATCTGCAATTCCCCTGGTTCCCCTGGTGTTGCGGTTGTTCATGGGCGGCGGTAGTCACTTACCATCAGGTAGGTCATAGCGGGGCAGTGAATTTGTTGGGAAAATGTAAATGTTAATGTTTCTTTCTATACTACTGATCATATTTTATATTAATTAGCCACAGATATTCATATATGTAGATATTTAAAAAAAAGAGTTAAACTGTATAAAAAATTAAAGAGCAAACCACAGAGACATTGTTTTGTGTATTAATGTAATACTCTAGAAACTGATACACTTTTAGTAAAAACTAACTTTCCCAATTAAATTATATTGTGTAACAAAAAAAATTTACCTCAGTGTCAACTAGCGACATCTGGTGAGCAGAAATTTATTAGCCCTCATTGCGAAAGCAGGAGACCGAGTTGAACATCCGCTCTCACACTTATTATTTTTAGCAATTAACCCTTCTTGGTGTATTTCCACAATGTGAAATATACATTATTATATGTGAAATAAAAACATCTATATACACATTACACTTACCACGACATCGGGCGCTCGCTGTACGGGTATGTGATTGAAACGATGCGGGAATATGAAACAACATTCATGTTAATACACTGTTATGAGGACACGTCACTTTATCTAAATCAGAGCTACAACTTGAAGCCCACTTTTATGTTTTTTTCGTCTATCTCAGTATACTATACTAGCTGTTCCCCGCGACTTGGCTAGCGTGTAATTTAGGGTTTTAATTTTTTTGCACATAACCCTAATTCATTTTGTAAAATAAAAGTAGTCTAAGTTGCTTCTTATGACATCAGCTATCTGCCAGCGATAGTCCCATCAAAATCGGTCCAGACGTTTCGGAGATTAGCCGGAACAAACAGACAGACAGTCAGACAAAAATTATAAATATAAATTAGGAAATAATTCCAATACTTTTCCCCAAAAGAAGAGACTTCTTTTACACGTTTAATAGTTAAAATTTAGAAATAAAAAGCTCTGATTTAAATAACGTGTTATAATCACGATGCAAATATTCAACTTTGGAGATATAACTCCTACGATGAATATGAAACACTCCCATATCACATGCATGGAGAGGTTTTCAGTAATAATCATTATAACACACAACATTTAAATTGGATATAACAAACACAAATAACTTATGATAACCTGGTACTTTTCAGGTATAAAAAGGGTAAAACAATATATCGTTACCACAAGCAAATCACCTTTATAGTGCGATAGCATTCGATGTAGAGGAAACCGAAATTGTTAACACAAAAAAAAATAAGGACGTAGGAAAATATAAATATTATGTAAATTTCCGTTCGTGCTTGGATTATATTTGAACAAAAATGTGTCTTATATTAAGAGAGGCTTCTTGTATGCATTATGATGTTGTTCCTATAGAAATATTTCTCTAAGGTTAAGGCCTGTAATATAAAGGACGTTGGTATTTGCGTAGATTCCTTTTACGTATAGGTATCGGTAATAGATCACTTTAAATTCATTATATCAAATATTTTCTAAATGATAAACCGTAATATTCAAAACTATTTCAATCTATTTTCAAAATAACTTAGTAAAAAAGATTATATACCACTTCTATCTCGATTTCCTCGCCCTGGTTGCATGAACATAAAAATATTGAATTACAAATATGATGTATATAATATATAATAGGTTATATGCACCATGTAAATACGTATTTATGATAGGTTTTATAAAAAGTAAGCGAGAAATATTGATTTCAGTTCATAAAAATGTATCATAAGTTTTATAATTAATTTTTAAGAATATTTTTTTAAATCTGTGCTTCAAACGTCTAATGCGCTATCAGCCATATTAGATTCCGTCGTGACGTCACTTCTATAGTAAGCAAGCTAATGTGCTGTGGTGTTGTTTCGAAATTCTTCAAGTTACCATTACGATTGTTGACCTTTATTCCGTACTTTATTGAAATGGCATCGTGGAAGACGCACTTTTACGAAAGCAGATAGTACTAATTTACCAAGGATAAATACATAGATCGTGGCAAAATTTTTTGCATACAATCTCGATTTTTGTTCCGCCGAGATGAGAAAGGTTAAAACATCAATGTAAATACCTATTACCAACTTTTGTTTATACAAAAACACAATACCAGTTCAGTGTGTCTTTTGATAATACATAGTTATGTTTATGTATGATTACTATATTCCGGGTCACCTGTACTAATGGGTGTACCTCAGGGCTCGATTCTCGGCCCATTCCTGTTTCTGGTGTATATTAATGACTTACCTCACCTTGTAGGGGATAGTCATGATATAGTATTATTTGCTGATGATACTTCCTTGATTTTTAAACTTAAACGTCAATCATTTAAATGTGACGAAGTGAATAATGCTATATCAAAATTAGTGCAATGGTTTAACGTTAATAATCTGCATTTGAACGGAAATAAAACTAATTGTGTTAAATTTACAACAACGAATGTTCAAAATCTGAATACCAATGTGTTTTTAAATGGGGAGGAATTGAGCCCTGTTGTATCCACTGTTTTTCTTGGCATCACTCTTGACGCAAAGCTCCAGTGGGGCCCCCATATATCCAAATTAGCAAGCAGACTAAGTTCTGCAGCCTATGCTGTAAAAAAGATTAGAGGTCTCACTAGTGTCGAGACAGCTAGATTAGTTTATTTTAGTTATTTTCATAGCATAATGTCTTATGGGATTTTGCTATGGGGAAATGCGGCTGATTCAGAAACTATTTTTGTTTTACAGAAGAGGGCCATTAGAGCTATTTACAATCTAAAACCGAGAGACTCTCTTAGAGATAAATTTAAAGAAATTAATATATTAACTTTGGCCTCTCAGTATATTTACGAAAATTTAATGTATGTTCACAAAAACAAAGATAGTTTTAGTAAAAGAAGTGATATACATTCTGTAAATACTAGGAACAAACACAAGCTAGTGATACCAGTTTCTCGACTCCACAGAGTCAGTAATTCATTCTTGGGGCAATGTATACGCTATTACAACAAGGTCCCGGAAAGTGTACAGGTTCTCTCTATTACCAAGTTTAAATGTTTTATTAAGCTGAAACTGTATAAAAAGGGTTATTATAGTATAAATGAATACATGGTTGATAATAACCCCTGGGAATGAGGTGATCGCTTCCAAGCAGTTTCTAAAATAAATTTTGTAAATAGTTCGTAATCATTTATATTGTAAAATTTATTTAAAAAAAAAAAGTCCCGCTGGGTTTCTTGCTGGTTCTTCCCAGGACAGAGGGTTTTTTTCGAACCAGTGGTAAAGTAAAAAATGACTTTCAATAAGAATTACACATGTAATGTATATTGAATAAAAAATATTCTATTCTATTCTATTCTATGTCACACCTAATCTATTACAAAATTTGACTTGCAATACCTATCACCGTATGATGTTTTGTTTTGTATAAACGATAATTAAACATAATTCATTCTTACATCAAAGTAATCTTCACAGAAGTATAGTCTAGTTTTTGTAGACAATATCTCCTGGTCTCTTCTTGCCAGTTTTAACCAAGTATTTCTCATATTTAAATCAGTTGGCACTTGAATTCAAACTTATATAAAGGTGGTAAACATCCACACATATTTTTATTCCTTTGCAAAATCGTTTTATTTACTATAGCAGTGACGTCATTTAAAAAAAAATCTATAAAAATTATAGTAATTCATTATCACTCGAGGATTCATTTAAAATATTATATGAAAATGGATGTAATACCCTATTATAATATTACAGAACGAAACGAATGTACAAAAATTATAATAAAGAAAAATAAACTTATTTCTATTGTTAATACGTATTTATATTTGATCCGACCACAAGATCAATAGTTGAATTATCATTGATTTAGTTGTTAAATACAGCCATTTACATAATAGATACAACATTGAATTAAATTAAATTTTAATACTTACGCCACCGGATTTGGACTGTCTTCTCATAGAGTTGCGATTTGTACTGGGAATGTCGACTTCAGAATGTTCCACCGACCAACCAATGGCTAACAGTGCTTTGAGGGACTCTCTTACCGGCTCCTTGTACCGTTCTTTTTCCTTAATAATAAAAATAATGTTATAATTTATAAAGGATATTGGATGCAATAATTAATTGTCTATTATTAATCTGGGAGTGGTAGGATTAAAAGTATCAAAATTATTATATTTACCTAAAATCATATAAACAACCACTCTTAACATAGTTACAGTGTTATAATGTCCTTAAGAGACAGCAGTATTTAACTTCCGACTTTAAATTTTGTAAGTATGTTGTAAATGAATGTCTTTTTAGTTTTTTAAATTCGGTTTTTACTTTTTATTAAAAGTTAGCTTTTTACCACTTTGAGTGGACTAAAAAACATTACAATTTCAAAATATTTACTAATATTAAAAACTTTATTCCATATTTTGACATATTTAGAGGTGCAATTTGTTTCCAAATTTATATAGGACCACCCCTGAAGAACCCGTAATCACATAGATCTTACTCAATGTAAAGAGAGCTTGCCGTAATCGCCACGTGGATATTTAATTTAAGTTAAAAAGAATATCTTATTTAAGGAAAAAATAAAATAACACATTTGGGTAATTGGCCAGATAAAAGTTTCAATAAAACTTACGTAATCATTCAGCATATTGTAGGGCTTAAGACGTGGGTGTGTCCTTTGACTGTCCGACCACGACTCACCATACACCCAGCCATTCTCAATTTTCCTGTAAAAAAATAGGATTTTAGAAATAGCTTTTATGAACATTCCAATTGTTTACAAAATAAATGACGTACGTCGAAACGTCTTTTAGTATAATGTAATAACGTCGTATTAGAGTAGGCATCTGGTATGGGTAAAGGGATTTTATGGTGGGCTCAGTTTTTGTTCAAATAGTGTTTATTACAAAATTATTTGTTTTAGTGTAAATTTTTAGGTACGACAGCCGCTTTGGAGAACGTCTATTGTGAACTGGCAATTAAAATATTTTTCATTTCATGGATCGGCTAGAACGTGAAAGGACAGATTCTTACAGAATACCAGTGTAAAATAGCAGTAAAATGATTTGTTTCTTTTTCTGCCGACTTCCAAAAAGGAGCCGGTACTCAATTCGACTGTATGTTTTTTTTTTCGTTTTTTTATGTGTGTTACCTCAGAACTTTTTTTCTGGGTGAACCGATTTCGATGATTCTTTTTTTATTTGAAAGCTGGTACTTCTCGTGTGGTCCCATATGAATTTGATCAAAGTCCTTGATCAAATACAAATGGGACAAAATCCACACGTGAAGTACCAGCTTTCAAATAAAAAAGAATCATCGAAATCGGTTCACCCAGTAAAAAGTTATGAGGTAACACACATAAAAAAACATACAGTCGAATTGAGTACCGTCTCCTTTTTGGAAGTCGGCAGAAAAAAGGTCGGAGCAGTCATTATTCTATACGACTTCTGAAGGTATTATGTGAAAGTTATTTTATTGCTTATGGATTATTATGACTTATGGAACTGAGACATGGTTCTTCACTGCTGGCCGTATGAGGAAGCTCAAGGTCACTCAGTGAGCTATGGAGAGGGCTATGCTCGGTGTTTCTCTGCGTGATAAACATAGAAATGAGTAGAATGACCGACTTAGCCCAACGGATTAGTAAGCTGAAGTGGCAATGGACCGGCCATATAGCTCGAAGAATCGACAACTGATGAGGAAAAAAGGTTCTCGAGTGGCAGCCTCGTACCGGTAGCTGAAGTGTAGGGCGATCGCTCATTAGATGGAGTGACGACCTCGTAAGACATGCAGGAAGTCGATGGATGCAGGTGGCTCAGGAGCGTGCTTTGTGGCATTCCTTGGGGGAGGCCTATGTTCAGCAGTGGACTTGTGAAGGGCTGTAATGATAATGAAGGCATTCCACCTTAGTCCTTAGGAGTGACTACGCATCTACATTTTCAATTACTTGTATGAAAAAAAGGTTTCTTACCTGGAAGCCCATGCGTCATGGTAATGTTCGGAGAACTTTTGCACGATGGTGTTGAGATCATTGTTAAGAGCAACGGACGACGTGTTGATCGGTTGGGGATCGTATTGCGGGTTGTCTGCCCCTGTTGTATTATTATAAAATTGTATTTATTACGTCGTTAGACTGAAGGGTCTATTTTGTAAATAGTAAAGTATGTTCTACGAGAGTTGATAAATATTATGAAAACATCTCGCAGAATAGCGACTGTTGCTTTAGTATCGCAATCTGTGTGTCGCTTATCGCGGAACACGGCATTTTGTGGTACCAGGTTCACAGCTGCAGTAAAGCGCGAGGCTAGGTAGGCGAGCCGACGCGACGGTTTTTTATAATCTATCAGTAAAAATAATTAACGGGCCGCAATTTGTAATGAATTTAGAAACCCTGCTTTTTATCAACTCTCGCCAAACAGTATACGGAAAAGCTTTGCTGCTTATATTACATTCATATTAGCTCCATAAAAAAAGTCACCGACGTAAACGCCCCTCTCATATGCCCCTAGGTGGTAAGGGACAATTATGGGAAATGCCGTAAAAATCTTATGGAATCTGACAGATGAGGATATTAGTATCTCGTACATTTCAGATGTAAAATATCCAGAACGGCGACAAAAAACAGTGTCAAGGGTACGAGTACCTGAGTATACTACGTCGCCAACCGCCTGCCAAAATGACTAAGAAAAGTTCTTCCCCGAACAGAAGAATCTCATGTCTAGCAGTGCACTGTTACTGATTGATGAAGAGGAGGAATAGTTTTAGAGCTCGTAAAACGGACAACAATATGTGCTCAGATTTAAGGTTTAGGAACCTGCGTTTTTTTTTCATAATTTATAATTATATATTTGCATAGAATGAAAAGTAGGTGTTTCAAAATTGTAGTTAAACATATAAGTTTCACTAAGTTCTGTGTGCGCGTCTTCAGGCGTACAACGCCTGGTTTAGGTGATTTTATATACGTGGTAGAGCCATGCTGCAGCTATATTAGTAGTATAGTTGTAGCACGAATGGGTCGGCTCGACCGAGGAAGGACCACGCTCTCACAGAATACCAGCGTAAAATAGCAGCTTAACGCTGCTGTGTTTCGTATGGTGAGTGTAGAGAACCGAAGACCCATTTTACTGGAAAAGAGGCATTACATCTTATTCTTCACGGGTGACGAGGCATCGGCATTTTGATTCTTTATTGAGGATAAATGTAGATGTCTATGGGTCACAGTTACCACTTACCATCAGGTGGACTGTGTGCTCGGTTATCACCCTGTCCTATATAAAAAAAAGGTAGAATGCAGAATTTTAAATAAATATTTATTACAGAATTTTTAATAGTTTATTCATTTCTATTTGATGAATGTTAATATTTGTAAATATGTTTTTGAATAAAATATAAAAATATGCTTTGTGGTTTATGGAACAATGGACTTTTGCAATATGCTACAATAACGTAATAATAATTTATCAACAAGTTTTCAAATCAGTGAAAAGCGCCATATTGTTATGTCACTTTCTTTACCTGTTGCGTGGGTTTCCTTTCCATAAAACTCATCGTCGTAGTTCTTCGATAGCGAATAGTCCGGAGGTAATGCACAACCTGAATTAATTAAGAATATAAACCATTAAATATATAATTTTTAATCTTTTCGTTCAAATTCAGTCACATACGATCAGTATAAGTGACTAGATTTGACTTTATACGTGGTAGAACCATGCTGCAGCTATATTGTTAGTATAGTTGTAGCACGAATGGGTCGGCTCAACCGGGGAAGGACCACGCTCTCATAGAATACCAGCGTAAAATAGATGCTTAACACTGCTGTGTTTCGTATGGTGAGTGTAGAGAACCGGAGACCCTTTTTTTACTGGAAAAGAGGCATTCCATCTTAGTCCTGCATTTTGATTCTTTATTGAGAATAAATGTAGATGTCTATGGGTCACAGCAATCACTTATCATCAGGTGGACTGTGTGCTCGTTTGTCACCCTATCCAATAAAAAATGTAATTACGGAAATATGTGTATTTCAGTTATCACATTTTAGAAAGAATTTTTGACTTCAACTTTGGAGGGAAAAAGACAATAAATTTTTCGAGCATTTTTTTAAATTTCTTGTCACGTTTACACATTTTAATTGAAGTAAAATTTAAAAATTGAATTTCTTGTGTTAAATTCTATTTAACATTAAATAATGAAATATAAAATAATGGTAATAAATGCTTTGCCTTACCATTGATTTAAAAGTTACATTGAAAAAATCAGAAGACAATCATGTATAAAGTAAATAAGTAAAGTTAAAAGTAAAAGTTGACGTTACATTATTTGAAAAGCATTTTTTTCAAGTATTTTTCGGGAAAATGCTAAAAGTTTTCGTTTCCAATAACTAAATAATTTAATACATAATTTAGGTGGAGAAGCGGGCTGACAATATTAGAACTACGTACCGATGGCAATAAGACACGGCAGGGCTTTTCCGAATAGCTCCGGTTCGTAGTCCATCTTGCTGAGAGAGTCGAAGATGTTGGAGAATAGCATCATGGTGAGGCGCTTCTCCTCGTCTGACGAAGCCCCGTACAACCCCTGACCACCCGTGCTGCCGTAGTACTTGGCACAGCGCTCGTAGTGCAACGTTAGCAGCTAATAATAGACAAATTACAAATATATACTACAAAATTTCATCATTAGAATTATTCTATCACAAGTCTTCACAAAAGTATCGTTTCATCATATCACATTTTGTACGTGGTAGAGCCACGTTTTAAACAACCATATTATGATTTCAGCTCGAATGGATCAGCTCAACCGAGGGAGGGCCATGCTCTCACAGAACACCAGCGTAAAATAGCAGTATTGTACTGCTATGTTTTGTATGCTGAGCGACGACACCGGGATTTTACTAGTAACGAGGCATTCCATTTTAGTCCTCAGTGGTTATAACGTATCTGCATTTTGATTCTTAATCGAGGATAGATGTAGAAATTTATGGAGCTTACCGACCACTTACCATCAGGTGGACTTTAAGCCCGTTTCTCACCTTTACTTATAAAATTTACATTTCTCCGTTGACCTTCGGTGCATTCGAAACGTAATTAAAACAATTTAAATAAAATTTTTTAAAATTCGAACAAATTTGTTTCTTTTAAAAATATTTTCTTTTTTTGTGACACTAACGAACAAGCTAATAGTCCACCTGGTCGTAAATGGCTTCTGCAGCCCATGGATATCTGCAACTAACTTTAAATTAAAAAAGGTTATGGATGAGTTGTCTTCTCTGAGCAATAAGAGGACATTGTTCACAGCTTATATTGACTCTACACACCTTTCTAAGCGTAACATCTTTACATTCGTAGAGCTATGCTGCAGCTATATTAGTAATATAGTTGTAGCACGAATAGGTCGGCTCGACCGGAGAAGGACCACGGTCTCACAGAATACCAGCGTAAAATAGCAGCATAACGTTGCTGTGTTTCGTATGGTGAGTGTAGAGAACCGGAGACCCTTTTTTACTGGAAACGAGGTATTCCGTCTTAGTCCTCACTGGTGACAACGCATCTGTATTTTAATTCGTAATCGAAGATAGATGTAGATGTCTATGGACCACAGCAACCACTTACCATCAGGTGGACTGTGTGCTCGTTTGTCACCTTTATTCTATAAAAAAAATATGTGCTTTACGTTGATATAATACAACTCACGACACATTACGCTAGATCTGTTAGAAATATAAACTACGAATTGTTTATGATCATACGTACCCGGAGAGCAACTGTTGTGTACTCGGACAGCCTCGATACATCGACGGTTAGTTTACGAAGTAACTTCAGCAACATGGAGGGTTGCATCGCCGATGTAAGCGCCACCAGGAAATCGGACACTGCTTCACGTTGACCTTTAGTCAGCATACGGTTTTTGGACAATCTGCAAAAAGGGATTATGAAGTTTTGGTAGAGCCATGATGCAACTATATTAGTAGTATAGTTGTAGCATGAATGGGTCAGCTCGGCCGGGGAAGGACCACGCTGTCACAGAATACCAGGGTAAAATAGCAGCTGAACACTGCTGTATTTCGTATGGTGAGTGTAGGGAACCGGAGACCCTTTTCACTGGAAAAGAGGCATTCCATCTTAGTTCTCACGGGTGACAACGCATCTGCATTTTGATTCGCAAACGATGATAGATGAAGATGTCTATGGGCCACAGCAACCACTTACCATCAGGTGGACTGTGTGCTCGTTTGTCACCCTAAAAAAAACACTGATTAAAATGTATACAGTACTTAGTCGCTAAAAGTAAACGTCTTTGGGCATCATGTAGACATTTTGCTCACACAATGGTCAAGTTAGAGGCCATTATTCTGTTTTATTAATCTATTTTGTTTAAATTTGTTTTCGTAGTGCATACAGTCCATTTTTAGATCATATAATGTTTGGGCGTGCTATATCTTCCTTTTGTGTATATCAATGGCTGAAATTAAAAAGTAAAAAAAAATTAAAAGTAATCATGCACGATTACTTTTTAATCGACTTCAAAAAAAGGAGGAAGTTTTCAATTCGGCTGATCAGACGAAAAATTAAACGCTTCTTCTTCTCAGACTTCATGCCGGCAGTTGAAAAGTAAGAATGAAGTGTGAATTAGTCGTTTTTACCATTTCTGTCGCATATGTCATGACAGTATACGTGCATTCGCCGCGTGTACTGTGTTAATACACAGTTTAATGATTAAACTCTGGTTAATACAAATACTTAGCATTAGACCCTCACGTATTATACAGTATATTAGTTGAACACGATGTAATATTTATTAGTGAATATTTATAAGTTTCATTTCTAACGATTTTTTCTTTATCTAAGTTTTTTCTTCTTTTTCTTCATAATGAAGGCTCGGTTGCATACTGGCTACGTGTTTGGCTGAGAGACTGCTGACTGCGGGTTCAAATCCAGTGTCGTGACAAGTAATTGTTACCTACAAATACGAATAATCGTTCCGGATCTGTGTTTCTGACTTTGTGTGTTTTATGTACGTAAAATGCCTCCGCGATACACGAGAAACATGACAACCTATTTGGATTGAATTGGGGTTCAATAGCGCAGTGACTAAACATTAGTCGGTACGCTGCTCGGTCAGGGGTTCGAATCCCGCACGGTGAAAGTATTTGTATGGCCTGCAAGTAATTGTTTCGGGTCTGGATGTGTGTCTTTTAGCAATTTATTTATCTATATATACCGCCTGCAAGATACTGGCAATAATCGGTAACAGTGGGGGCAACATTTTTAAAATAAAACAAACAACCACTGTCAAGTCAATGTCTCTGGCCATGGAACCTTAAAAATCTGGCTTATTACCTATAAACGGTATGTAAGGTGGCGTCGAGTAGGCTAGCGTAGTTTTCAGCTTCATTGTAAAAGTTGGCATGCTTGATAAGCAAGGGTAGAATAGAGTTGCCGATGTAGCGGTTCATTGACAGCGCCATGTCTGATTCACAGCCGTCGTTCTGTTAAAAAAAATATGAATGATAAAAATGAATAGAACAAGGTATTCGTAGACGTGGTAGAGCCACGGTTACTGCTGCTATATTGCGGATGGTGAGTGTAGAGAACCGGAGACCCTTTTTACTATTAACGAGGCATTCCGTCTTAGTACTCAGGGCTGATAACGCATTTGAATTTTAATTCTTAGTCGATGATTAGTGTAGGTCCATTTACCATCAGATAGACTGTGTGCTCGTTTGTCACCGTTACATTTAAAACAGCTTTGCCAATACAGCCTACGTTTTTGGTAATTTTTATTTTCAACTTTAAAAAATTTAAATCAAGGATAACAAAATTCATCTTAGGCCATTTAGTCCTTCACGCGTGATTAAAGTTAGAGCCCATATACGTCCCACTGCTGGGCACAGGCCTCCTCTCATTTCTGACAGGGATTTAGAGCAAGGCAATGTCCGCCACGCTGCCCCAATGCGTGTTGGCGAACTTCACATGTCTTCGAATTTTTTTTCTTATTTCTCAGATATGCAGGTTTCCTCACGATGTTTTCCTTCACCGCCGAGCACGTGGTAAATCAGCACTTAAAATTGCAATTAACAATTTCATTGGTGCCGGCGGGGATCGAACCCGGGTTGCTGGCGTACTGTAAAATTTACAGCGAACGCTAACCATCTGAGCTACCACGGCTCACGCGTGATTGTGTAACAAAATTTCAATCCCAACACCATCAACTTTTTTTTTACAGATGTATAATATTATAGATAACCACTTACCCTGTCTAACATCGTAGCAGCTCTCAGATCGGGTAAGAAGGCTTCTTCTAGAAGGCGATAGAACAACTCCTGCGTCTCTATACCGTAGACTCGTTCCAAGAAAAGTCCAACGCTTTGCTTGTGGCCGGGAATAAGACCAGAGGGCATGTCTGTAGTAATAGTAAAGTAACTGTTTAAGTATTGCCACGTGATACTAGATAATTAATAGATATTGTCGCTAGATAATTTAGAGAATTAGGCCCTTCTCCCATTACGATACTTGTAAGGTACGATACTCGAGTAGAATACTAGTTGGATACTTGTTCGCTACCCGACGCTCGCATATTATGCTACTGAAAAATGACTAAATTTATCATTTGTGCAAACTCGTTTTTGTGGACGGACGTTATGTCGAGCGATTCTAGTGACGAAGAAGCACTTGCAGCTTTTCTGTTTTATAGAAACAGAAGACGTCAACGCAAGAGTAGAAAATACTGGATTCATCCATATATTGAAAGAAACATAAATTGTAGAGTTTTTGTAGCCGCACAAGAACTACAACATGATGATAATAAATTTTTGTCTTTCTACCGAATGTCTAAAGAGACCTACCTGCATCTTGTTACATTAATAAAGCCTGCTATACATCAACGAAATACTATATTTAGAGAGTGTGTTAGTGCGGAAGAAAGGATTCTGATAACCCTAAGGTAAATAATACTCCATTGTTACATATGTAATTAAAAATGTATATTAAATTTTTAGTATGAATCAATCAATCATCAAATTAAAACATAGGCTATTTCAATCAATTATAAAAATTATTACTTATTCTTCATCTTCCTGTGATAAAAACATAGGTATTGATTCATAATATAGTGTGGCAGTATTTGATTGTACACTTTCATTTATGGTATTTGGCGTACTTATTGCCCTGTCAGTCGGTGAAGGAGTAGATAAAAGTGTGATGGGACTACTTTGGTCCATAATATCGTCTATCAATTCAAGCACTCTCCTCTTAAACAGTCTTCTTTGATTATCATTCAATTTATTCACGTCCGACAGTAAACTCAGTAAAAACATTTTGTTTGAATTTTCAGTACTGTCACAGTTTTCTATAATTTTAGATCGTTTCAATTTAAAATAAGCTGCAATATCTTGCTCAGCTTGAGTTTCTTCAAGCTTCTTCCGTTTTCTTTTATTGCTTGTTGCTGGTGGTAATTGGTGTCGCAAGATTGATTGAGTGCTTGTTGGAGGAAGAGATGAATGCTGTTGTGAGATTGATTGAGTGCTTGTAGAAGGAAGAGATGATTGCTGTTGCGAGATTGATTGAGTGCTTGTAGAAGGAAGAGATGAATGCTGTTGTGAGATTGATTGACTGCTTGTAGAAGGAAGAGATGAATGCTGTTGTGAGATTGATTGACTGCTTGTAGAAGGAAGAGATGAATGCTGTTGCGAGATCGATTGAGTGCTTGTAGGTACACTTTCTGTGAACTGTGTTTGTTCGCATAGTTCAGGAGACTGTGGTTGCAATGTGTCATTATCTTCTATTGTCTCGTTCAAATTTCCTGATGGTTTTCCTGCTGTTTTTATGAACGGTATAGTAAATTGCATAAAATCAGCTAAGTAGTATGGTTTTTTTTGCGCAGTCCCTGCTCCACTTTTAGGCGGTTTCAAATGGCGAACAAAAACACTACGTAGATTTTTCCACTTTTCTTTAGCTTCTGATCCTGAAAATAACCTTAATATTAATTGTTATTAATTACAGATATTTGGGATCAGGTTGTTCATTTGTAAGCCTAGGATTGTATTTTGCAAGAGGAGATAATACAATTTGCAAGGTCATAGCTGAAACTACAGTTATAATATGGGAGATATTAAATAGAGACTATATGCCATTACCAAATGTGCAACATTGGAAAGACATTGCTGCTCGTTTTGATCGCCTCTGGAATTTACCCAACTGCTTAGGGGCATGTGATGGTAAACACATCAGAATAGAAAAATTACCTAATTCGGGATCAAGTAATTTTAATTACAAATCCTACCATTCGATAGTATTAATGGCATGTTGTAATGCCGATGGATTATTTACTGTTATCGAAACTGGCTATGCTGGTAGGAACAGCGACGGTGGAATCTTCAGTGCTTCCAGGATCAAACGTTGGATTGAACATGGACGTCTTAATATTCCTTTACCTTCCAAACTTCCTAATGACCCATCTAACTATGAATTTCCATACTATTTTATTGGGGATGAGGCATTTCCCCTTCTATCTTACTTCATGAGACCATATCCCCAAAGAACCTTAAATGACTTGAGAAGGGTGTTTAACTACAGAATAAGCCGAGGGAGGAATACAATTGAATGTGCTTTTGGAATGATGACTGAGAAATTTCAAGTATAAAGTACAGCTATAAGATGTCATACAATAGAAAAAGTATCAAATATAATAAAAGCAGTGTGTATTTTACACAACTTTGTTCGACAACATGAGGGTATTCTATATAGTCCAAGGGAGGTAATACAAAACAGATCGGTCACTATTCCCGTTACTATGACTATACAACCTCAAAATATAGAAATAACTGCAACTATGTCACCACACAACCAACGAAATTATTTAGCAAACTACTTTATATCTGAGCAAGGTTCATTGCCTTGGCAATACCAATACTGTTTACAAAATACAATGTAACATTGATTAATAAACTACTTATTATGTATAAACAAAACAAACCTGTTATTTGAAATTTATTCCCAATTTCTGCCCAAGTCCTATCTATTGTATTTTTCCGCATGTATTCTGGTAATTTGTAGTTATATAAACAAGCATGTTTTTCAACTTCTTGTACAAACTTAATATTTATTTCTTGCTCCGCCGCCATCTTGTCGAGACGCACAGGAGACGCGACGCACAAGCGACCAACACAGCGAGTCGCGCGATACTAGTCGCGGACGCGTAGGATACCAGTAGCGTAGTGTGCGAGCCTGCATTCAAATGTATGTGAGATACTTGGCGGCGACTAGTCGCCAAGACTTGCAGGATACTTGAATCGCCTGTGCGTATCGTAATGGGAGAAGGGCTTTAGACGTTACTTTGCGGAAATCCATTATATTAAAGTTGGTAAAAATTACCTTGCGTACATCCTCTTGATAAAATAAAATGATGTGTCTTACCTAGTATGAAGATCACCTCCCGCCCTCCCACAATTGTGTGTACTATCCCCGTCACCACTAATCCCAACACCACTACACTAGGACAGACACACCATTGACGACAATACGACACGTGTTTCGCCTCTACACGAGACATCTTCAGGTGATGTAGACTCTGCGATGGCTGACCGCTAAGTGAGTCTTAGTGGTCAGCCAGCTGGTCAGCGGATAGTGCACACAATTGAGGGAGGGCGGGAGGTGCTCATCAAACTAGGTAAGACACATCATTTTATTTTATCGAGCGGATGTACGCGAGGTAATTTTTACCAAATTTAATTGAAGTCGCTAGATTACCTTTATGTGATATTTTATGTGGTATAGCCATGCTGCAGCTATATTATGCACATCACAAATAGTTCGGCCCGATCATGTAAGGACCATATATGGTGAGTGTTTCAAAGCGAAAAAAAGCAAAAAGGACCCATTTTACTGGTAACGAGTCATTTTATCTTAGTTCTCAGGGATGATAACGACAAACGTAAATTTTGATTCTTAATCGAATATAGATGGAGGTGTCTATGGGTCACATTATTCACTTACCATCGGATGGCCTGTGTGCTTATTTGTCACCCTTATGCTCATGTGCTCTTACGAATTTAACGTTAACATAGATTATGAAATCGGTAATAAAAAAGCAATTTATAAGTATGTAATGGACTAGAAAAGATTCTACTTCCCGTCTAAGTGCATTCACACGCTGGGCTTCTTACATTTTCTTATCAAAAATTAACAAAATTTCGGTCAGATATTTCTTGTTGTTAAAAACATAATTTAAATACCTAAATGCTAAAAAATCTGCAACACTGTTTTTTTCATTCATTCTCATTGTGTTTCCAGTGCTGTCCTAGTGCCTGTCGGCGGTTATTATCAACATTGAAATATTAAAATTTATCAGACGGTTTGCGAAGTTTGTCTTCACCGTAGATATTGAAGTACTGGCGGACTTGGAAATAATTAACAGTTTTAGTAGTGCCGGCGGTAATCTACTAGGGTTCCTCGAGTATTACGAAAATTAAAGATAGATACCAAGACACATCAGTGTATGTAGAGAAAAAAGCATTTATTTTTATGTTGTGTGAAATATCTGTATTTTATTTTGCAGTTGAAAGTAAATACATCTTGCTTCAAAAACTTCAACTTGCTAACCAAAATGTAAAAATGTAATGCATTACGGTCGAATTTATTATATTTTTATATTACTTACATTAGAATCAATAATATAATGACATTTTTTTGCGAAATGTTAAAACAATACTAAAATTTTAGCGAATTTGTCATGTCAATTTTTATATTACTTACACTACGAGTACATTCAACAATATAATAATATTTTTTGCGAAATGTGAAAATAATACTAAAATTACGACGTATGACAAATTTTAGCGAATTTGTCAAACATCGTAAAACCGACCCGTTTAAAAAGGAGATTAAACTAGAGACTGTAATAGATTAATAGCTAATGCTTACCGGACTTCGGTCTTTCTTCTCCCGCAGCTGGGTTGTTCAGAGTGAACCTAAGACTGAGTACACCTTGCAAATCTTCCAGAGGTACAAGGGATCGTAAGATAGCGCGCGCTCGTAGAGATTCGTTCTTCCCCTGCGTAAAGCGAAACAAAATAATAAGGAATTCGCTTATTATAAAAAATATAAAGAATTTAATATAATACCATTTTTGGGTCTGGATGTTTGTGCATATGTTACATATGAAATAATTTCTAGTGTGAAGCTGACGTTTCTCGAAACAAAAACATGCGTGAGTGTCGTGGAACACTCGGTTGGAACGAAGGTCCTTTCGTAGTATATTATTATTGATAATAAACGTATTATATTACTGTATTACTACTACTAGCGTCTATTAAAATGAAGCGCCATGTAAAATAAAACAATATTTCTTTTATGGCAAGATGAGAAAAAGTGCGAGAGAGATGGAGATTATACCGTCTCGCTTCCTTACAGCCGCCAAGGCCATCTACAATCAAAAGGGGTCGTTACGGAAAAATCTTACACTTTTTCTCGTCTAGCCCGTATCCACCGAATTCGTACCGTCCGATATAAGGAACTTCGTTCCAAATATTAATTATAAAGGAAACTCAATAGACTATTTAAGTTTTTTTTTTTTTTTTTTTTTATACAATAAGGGTGACAAACGAGCACACGGTCCACCTGATGGTAAGTGGTTGCTGCGGCCCATAGACATCTACATCTATCCTCTATAAAAAATCAAAATGTAGATGCGTTGTCACCCGTGAGGACTAAGATGGAATGCCTCATTTCCAGTAAAAAGGGCCTCCGGCCACCTGCACTCACCAAGCGAAACGCAGAGGTAAACCTCTACTTCACGCTGGTTTTCTGTGAGGTCGTGGTACCACCCCGGTTCGAGCCGGCCCATCCGTGCGACAGCAAAAGCTGCCGCGTGGCTCTACCACTGTTAAAAGTAAGTAAAGTTAAGTAGCTGCTAGTGGAATATGTCCCCTAATGGATGAATGAACTAACATCCATTAGGGGCTAATGTTGCAAAGACAGTAGCATCTTTCTGATAATAACTCAAAATAATAACAAATTGCGGTTTCCAAACCGCCTGTGGGAGACTATAAGAAAATCCCCCCCCCCCCTCCATGAATAAATCATTGGGGGAGGCGTATGATCACTAGTGTGCTTTTGATAGACTACAATAAATGAAATAACATGAAATCGAAATTAAAATTAAATAAATACTGGAAATAAGAAAATCATTTTTTTTTGTTATAAAAACATATTAATATTCCTGGTAGGTATTGTCAACCGACTTCAAAAAAAAAAAGAAGCGGTTCTCAATTCGATTGTATTTTTTTAAGTCTAAAGTTGCAGCTTATTTACGTCCCACTGCTGGGCACAGTCGTCCTATCATTTCTGAGAGGGTTTTAGGGCAAGGAAATGTCCGCCGCGCTGCCCCAATGCATGTTGGCGAACTTCACGTCTTTGAAATATTTTTTTCTTATTTCTCAGACATTCAGGTTTCCTCACGATGTTTTCCTTCACCGCCGAGCACGTGGTAAATTAGCACTTAAAATTTCAATTAACAATTCCATTGATGCCGGAGGGGATTGAACCCTGGTTGCTCGCGTACTGTGAACCTTACAGCGAGCGGTAACCATCTGAGCTACGACGACCCATTTTAAGTGTTTTACGTCGGAACTTTTTTCTACGTGACATGATTTCGATGATTCTTATTTTATTTGAAAACTGGTGCTTCTATGTGGTCTTTATAAATCTGATCAAGATCTGACCAGTACTTTTTGAGTTAACCTTAATAATGCGTATATAATTGACTTCGACTACATTGATGATGTTCTCATTTTACTTATATTGAAGTCGGTTGTACAAAATTTTTAATATTTATCTTTTACTTCTCGAAAAAAAAAAATACAATCTTTCGAATTAAATTTTCTTCGCGTTCGAAAATATTTACAGGTTTTTTTTTAAGAATAATTATTTCTAATAGTGTTAAAATATTTTTTACTTACTAAAGCAATAACGGATGCATCTGGAGCACAGCGACCCAACAGGTCAACAAGCGTACAGTAAAAGTTTAGGATTGCGGCTCCCGTGTCGATATAATCCTCATCCTCATCAGACTCGGGAAGTGGGTGGCTGAACTGTAAAAAAAACTAAGCTGGTTTATTACTGAAAAAAAAAAGAAATATTTCAAACTTCTGGCGAATTACCATATAGTATTTTAATTACTGCGTGTAAAAAGTAAAAATATATACTCAAATCGAACAATAAATATAAAAAAAGGAAAATAATTTTTTTATAGGATAGGGTGACAAACGAGCACACAGTCCACCTGATGGTAAGTGGTTGCTGTGGCCCATAGACATCTATATCTATCCTCTATTACAAATCAAAATGCAGATGCGTTGTCACCCGTGAGTACTAAGATGGAATGCCTCTTTTCCAGTAAAAAGGGTCTCCGGTTCTCTACACTCACCACACGAAACACAGCAGCGTTAAGCTGCTATTTTACGCTGGTATTCTGTGAGGGCGTGGTCCTTCCCCGGTCGAGCTGACCCATTCGTGCTACAACTATACTACTAATATAGCTGCAGCATGGCTCTACCACTTATAATTTCCATCTTAGTCCTCAAGGGTGACAACCTGACAACGCATCTGCGTTTTAATTCTTAATTGGGTATAAATGCAGATGTTTATGAGCCACAGTGCACGTTTGCTATCCTTATTCTAAAAAAAAAAACCTAACGTATTTTTACACGGTTGATTTCATTGGAAAAACTAGTAATCAGACTGATGTAACCTTTATGTAAAACTCTGTTTATAGTACTAACATTAATATCTCCCTCCTGCTCCAAATCCCTTAGTTTCCTTCTGTCAGCGATCCTCTCACTCATTTTGTTGGCGTCTACGATAGCCTTTAGCAGGCCTTCACCTTCACCTCTTAGAGCTGGACCCAGGCACTCTGGTCTTCTGATCAGCAGACGAATTACAAGATTGGCATTCTCTTCAACGCTTTCCCCATTTACCTAAAACAAAGATAATTCAAAATCATTTAATTATAAGTTCATTATTCATTATACAATTTGATTGCCATACATTTGATTGCCTCGTTCATCTTTTGGTTGTAAGCGTAACTACCGATCATGTGATATTGGGTTCGAATCCCGAGTCTGGCCAAAATCAGTGATTGGGTTTCTCTATCAAGAAATTCTTAGTCCAGTTCCAGAGTCCTTACTCTGGGCTGCTACTGAGAATTCCTTAATTGACGGTGTTTCTACCCCCCATGCCTCGGAAAGCATTTAAAGACATTGGTTTTGTACCCTATGTCTCGCTGGTCGTCTTATTGTCTCCCGGTCGTCGGATTGCCGTCTAATCTGAGTATACGAGTGAGAGAATGATGACGAGAAAGAGACTGCACCTTTGCTTGCGCATACACTCGAGCACTGTAATTCTGGCCTGCGCCTTTACAATACCCTATGCCAATATTGCACAATAATAATGATTTCCTTCTGGTTCAGCTAACACAATCTTCGCCATCTCTTCTAGCATTAGATAACAGACGAGTGGTTGTTCTCCCCTTTGTTGTCGACATAGTACGTACCCAAAACGAACGGCTTGCCACGTCCTTAATATAGGGTATAGAGAAAGAGTTGAATAATTTGCCAGCGTCTGTCTTTCCGTCCGATACACTGTCGGTTTCTCCAAGACAAGAGTGAATAGGCTTTGTTAAGCTAAGCCGGTACCTTCTACCGTCTTCGACTACGTCACTAATAACTTGTTCGTGTATAGGCATCACAAGATCATAAACTTGTAAAGCTTTTCTTAGCAGTTAAAAAGAAAAGAAAGAAAGAAAGAAATATTAAATGAAACTAATTTGTAGCAGTGGTATGTTTGGATTGCAAGACTTCAAGATACTGTTAGCTCGTTCTATGGGACCAAAAATTAATATTCAAAAACTGGGCTAACTATGACATATGACCATGGGTACTGTAAATCACCCGAAACGTCGGGAATTATTAAAATGTTAAAATTAAACGCGATAAAATCACGTAAAATAATTTTCATTTAATGCATAGTGTTCGAAAAATTATAAGAAATCATTACAAGAAAGGAATATATTCATTTGGTCGGTAGGCGCCACCGCTGGCCATGTATATCACCGACACAAGAACAATTGATAATAGAATTAAAACAAAAATGATTAATTGAATAAAAAACTAATAAAAATATGTGTACTTACCCAAACGCAGAAGCGCAAAAAGTCGAGGTATCGTTCGCCTTCAACTGGATCCCAGCCAAGATCGGGATAACCTTTTTCAACTAATTCGGAGTTACTTTGCAAACCACAACGTGACAAGTAAACCGCAATCTTCTCCAAGTAATGCTCCCTGAAATAATGAAGAATATTTCTAGTTGTAAATGCATTAAAATAAGCCCACAATCTAAAAGGAAATTATCTATCATCATCATCATCATCATCATTGCTGCCCTGCAACAATATTGGGAAACGGGTTGGCAACCCCTGTTTTTATGATATTCATTTGTGATTTTTTTGCTTCTGCCGATTCTTACACAGTAAACTTAATTTCTACCTCTCTCTTATACAAACATACATATACACGCTCAGTAAGTCTTAACCCCTTAGTTGTTGACATTAAAACGGTTTGCTTTGTCTTTGGTAATGCGTACAGTAAATAATTGGATTAGTTTGCCAGTATCTATCTTGCCATCTGTTTACAATGTGGGTAGTCTTCAAGGATATGTAGGTATCACCAAATACCACCAGATGGGATTGTAGTCAGGATATAATTACTAATAGTAAAAGAAAAACTCTTTTGCTGGAAGTCGAACGTGAAATCAGGATCACATCAAAGTAACGTAAACACTCGTAAATATTTTCATACTTATAGGTTTACGGTAAAATCAGGAACCGCAAGAAGACAAAATTATTACTTAATCTTATCATTAACTTGAAAAAAATCTTGTTTTTTTGATAAAAAAACCTGAACATATTTAGGTTTATGATAAAATTTAAGCCATCCAACCGAATTAGATGGTTAGGTAATTGTTATATTTATTTAAAGAAATACCTTAAAATTCCAAAAAAGCGACTTTGATTTTATCATAAAACTAAATCAGTCTAGGTTTTTAATAAAACAACTGGATTTTTTTTGGTTTATGATAACATAAAGTAGTGATTTATTCTTCTTCCGGTTCTTGATAAAAAACTAGGTTTTGTTCATAAACCTGCGAAATATACATATAAACATAAAATATCTCGCCTCTTTTTACGGATAGCTAAGCAGAAATATGGATTTCTAGTTAACAAGATATTGGAACACCCCTGATATCGTGTAGTGGCGGTGTAAGAATATCCACTACCCCATATCTTCCCGTGGGTGTCGTAACAGGCAGAGGGAAACAAATCGGGAGATGGGCAGCAGCGTCATCTTAATAACGACTAAAAATAAAAAAAAACTACGGCTGCCAACCCACTTGCCAAGCGAGACAACTATGTCAAACATCCCACTTATGAGTCAATCTAAAGGGGAGGCCTATGTTCAGCAGTGGGCTTTAATAGACTCTAAGGTCGGTAACCTCTGCTTTATTTACTTTTTTATCAATCTCGTCATACCTTGTCATATGATGAAGGTATTAATTAGGTGTTTACTTTGTATTTGTATAAATTACCTTAACGCCAACGCTAGTTCGGTATTTTCCATAAGACTCGAGTAGGCGACATCTAGCGGCGTGGATCCGCGTAACGAAGGTCTCGATAGAAGAATGTTGGAGTTTTCTAGCAGGAAGTCGAAGTGGTCGAACATAGCTTTCTGGTTTTGTCGGCCCGTGCGGCAGAAGTAACAGAGGAAGCGGCAACACGCCACTACCATTTCGTGGGATGTGTCCTGGATAAAGAATATATATTGAGTATTCGTATTTATGGTATTTTATTTGAATGTCTCGTTGGTCTAGTGATTGAAAGTGCGACTACTGACAAAGATATATTTTATACGTGGTAGAGCCATGCTGCAGCTATATTAGTAGTATAGTTGTAGCACGAATGGGTTGGCTCGATCGGGGTAGGATCACGCTTTAACAAAATACCAGCGCAAAATAGCAGCTTAACATTGCTGTGTTTCGTGTGGTGAGTGTAGAGAACCGGAGAGCCTTTTTACTGAAAAAGAGGCATTCCGTCTTAGTCCTCTAGGGTGACAACGCATCTGCATTTTGATTCGCAAACGAGGATAGATGTAGATGTCTATGGGCCACAGCAACTACTTACCATCAGGTGGACTGTGTGCTCGTTTATCACCCTTATTCTATAAATAAAAATTCACAGTATGCGAGCAACCTGGGTTCGATCCCGGGTTGCTCGCGTACGGTGAAATTTACAGGTCCCCCCGCCGGCACCAATGAATTTGTTAATTGCAATTCTAAGTGCTGATTTACCACGTGCTCGACGGTGAAGGAAAACATCGTGAGGAATCATGAGCATGTCTGAGATATAAGTAAAATATTTCGAAGGCATGTGAAGTTTGCCAACGCGAAATAGGGCAGCGCAGCAGACATTTGTTTGCCCTAAAACCCTCTCAGAAATGAGAGGAGGTCTGTGCCCAGTAGTGAGACGTATATATAGGCTGCAACTTTAACTTTTTTTAACTTTAATAAGATATAGGATAAAGTATAACAATTGGTATATAATGTTTAATTTAATTGATTTAGTTTAGTTTAATTAGTATATAAATTAACAGCAGTGTTAATTTTACGCTGGTATTCTGCGGGAGCGTGGTCCTCCCCCGGTCGAGCCGACGCATTCGTGCTACAACTATACTACTAATATAGCTGCAGCATGGCTCTATCACGTATAAATCATCTTATTGTTCCTCGTTAATTAGTTAAAATGAGTTGTAGTGAACGTTAAGTGAAAATAATTTTGTATAGTACGGTGTACGGTATGCATGTACCTTCTCCTTGGCGGCGTCGTCGGCGGCGGGCGCGCCGGTGGGCTGCGCGTCGGACTGCGCCTGCGCGCGCCGCCCCAGCGTGTTCATCATCACCGCCATCACGTTCTCGTGCACGCGCAGCACTCTGCCGTCACATTGCACATCACCACCAGGTTATAAGTACGGAATACACTCATTGTTACTAGGCTCCTATTGACGGTTCTGTGGCGCAGTACCTTAGCAATGAGTTACGGCGCTAATGGCCGCGGATTAGAATCCCGCACGCAACAAGTATTTGTATGGCTTAAAAGTAATTTTTCCAAGTCTGGATGTTTGTCCCTTTGTATGTAAATAATGTAATATTAGTACGTAAACTGCCTTCATAATACCAGAGAAAATCCTAATGTCACGTTACAAAAAACAAAGAAAAAAAAAAGCACAAAATCTCACTATCGCCTAATATAAGAAATTCTGAAAAATATTGGTATTTAAAAAACGTGTTAGAGATAATTTCTTTGCATCCTGTTACTTAATATACTCGTATATTATTTTATTATATTAGTATTAGTTTGTTTATATATTATATGTAGCTATTGTATGTATTATTTTTATTTATATTATTATTTTATTTTTTATTTTTGTATCATTTAATATAATTTACTTAACTTTTTGTATATTATTTACAGAAGTATAAGTATTGTACGCACTAAATTTGCCTTTTTAATATACTTTCCTTTGTGGGTCTACTGGAAGATATTTCAGCAAATTATGTAATAAGTAGAACCTTAGTACAAACTCTCTATTAGACTGTTTCTGTATCTTGTTGTGTGTACATAAATAAATAAATAAAAAATTGTTACTAAGCGGTTGGTCGCCTTCCAAGTCTAGGAGTCCGTTTGGGTAAGTATCACCACATTATCTATTGGTTACCACTGCTGTGTTCGAGTACCTATAGAGAGCCAGTAATTAAAGGTTATGACAACGTAGTACTATTACTTATTCTGTGGTATGAGATATTCCATCTCAGTCCTTAAGGGTGACTACGCCAACGCATCTGTGGCTTTCCTTATTTGAAGTCGACGGATAGTTGTCATGGGCCTACAGTAGCCACTTTCCATCAGGTGGACTATTATAAGTTCGAATCGTTATTTAAAAAAAAATAAAGCGTTGAATCCTTTAATCAATAGATTATTTGCAGTTTCAATAACATATTTCGGGACAAATAACGAACAAACGCAGATATAACACATAGCACATCTTGTATTGCACATTAAAACACAATGCGTCATTAAAATAAAAATTTTATCACAAGGCAAAACGAACTGAAAAAGTAATTTAGTTCTGACTCATTATAGTTTTATATTGTTTACATTTTTTCTGTACCACCTGATCTTTTTTTTTTTGCATTTTTACCAATAAAGATATTGGTCTAAGAATGTTCAATATAATTAGTTAGTCAATTAAACAAAAAAAAAAACTTTTAACTCAAGAGGCTCTTCTATAATAAATGGAGGCAGAAGCCTTGTCTCATAGAGTGATACCAGATGATGAGAATCAGAGGCGGTTAACAAGTTTTTGAGTTAGATCGATGTTAATAAATTAACAGTGACTAAAAGAAAAAATAAATAAATATTTTTTTAGACTTCTAAACTGAACTAATGAGGTATATTGCAGGTATAGCTGATTTTATATGCTATACGGAAATCACTTAGAAAAAAACGTATAGTGTGTATAATGTCGATATATTATTAAATGAAAATATTGTATTTTGATTGGAATAGTAATTGCCTACACAAAATTTGTAAGCCGTGTATTTGTGATAAGAATAAAACAAAAAGTTTACATATTTTTTGTTTGTAATTTTACTTGTAAATATTACCTGTATATTAATTGCCAAAGCAAAAAGATAGTAAGAATTATTTTCTTACCTTATTAAGTCAGGATGTTGGAAGAAGGTATGGTTGTTCACCAGTTTCCTATGGACAGCAATATGTTTTATTTATTGATGAAAAATTTACAATTATAACATTACCTGTCACGGCATATTACCTACTTATTAAATTTATGTAACTACTTATTAAGTTAATATTTTATAGTTTTAAAACAACAATCCATCAAAAGCCAATCAGAAGTCCACTGCTGAATATAGGCCTCCCCAAGGAATGCAACAAAGCACGGTCGTCAGCAACTTGTCTTGATCCATCAATTTCCCGCATTGCTTATCAGGTCTTCACTACGTCTAGTCAATGGCAAACCTACACTTCATTAACGATACGATGTTGCCACTCGAGAAACCGATAAACTTTCTGCCCATCGGTTGTCAGTTCTTCGAGCTATATGGCCGGTGCATTGCCACTTCAGCTTACTGATCTGTTGCACTATGTCGGTTACTTTGGGTTTACTCATAAGGCCGCGTTCCGACAACACGCACCCGCTACGCGCGCGAAATTTGTTGCATATAATTTAAGTTTTATGACAAATCAATATAAATAACGAGTTGAATGTAAATTCTAGAAAAACAACTTCCTTCTGTGTGAATCCTATATCTCTGGTGCCCTTTGACCTACAGGACCCAAATTCAAACTCGACCGAGCTACTACCTCAAGGTATCCACATACCAAATTTAAAGTCAATCGGTTCAGTGGAACGGAAGTTATCGTGTCGGCATACAGACTAACAAACTGCCAGCTAAACCATTAACTTCCTTTCAATGCTACGCAGAAGGAAGTTAATAATAGCGCGTAGTGGGTGCGTGTCGTCGGAACGCGGCCTTACGGTTAGCGAATTCTATTACGCAGAGAAATTCAGATCATAGCCCTCCCCATAGCTTATCATTAAAATAAAATACACAAGTGTTCCTCACCAAAGCCTCTTACGCATCAGTTCCTCTTCTTCTTGACTCATCTGCACGGGTAGTAACGCGCGGATCTGGCTCAGTCCCACCCACATTTCAGCTACGTCTTGCTTTGTCTTCGCATTGATTACATAAGTCTTCTCTAAAGCACGGATAAGTTCGCCTATCGCATCGTATTGCCGGACTAGAAGACTGTTAAAAAAAAGGATATGTATAGTTCCCGTAACGAAAAAACTATCGACCATAACTGTCTGACTTCAGGTTAGTAAGCGTTTTGTCTCTGTCATTTATACTTCTATTACTTTTCCCACTTTTACATTTAGTCTCATACCCTTTTTACTGGAAACGAAGCATTTCATCTTAGTCCTCCGAGTGACACGCATCTATATTTTGATTCTTAATCGATCATCCACTTACCATCAGGTGGACTGTGTGCCCGTTTCTCACTTTTATTATATAAAAAAAAGTCCACAGAAGCATTGTTTATACAAAGGACAACAAACGATAACACTTTCTACTTGATAGCAAGTAGATACTACAATATGTGACACCTAAATCTATCCTCGGTGAAAAATCAGAACTAAAGATGTTGAAAATTAAGCTGAGATCTGCGTACAATTATTAAGATTTTCACAAAGTAGCGCCTGATTCTTAACCTTGTCATCTATGAGGACTGAGATAGAAAACCTCATTACCAGTGAAAAGTGTCTCCGGCTCTCTCCACTCACCATATGAAACACAACAGCATTCAGCTTCTGTTTTACGCTGGTATAAAACGTTACTAATATAAAACGTTTGCATAAATATCTTACCTAAACATTTCTCTGACCAATTTAGGTGTTTCAATTTGCGACTCTTCAGCCCAGTTGACAATAGTTTGTATCAAAACTTTACGGAATTTTTCTTCGGGAGATTTCCTCGGTGGTTCTTCAATAGCCTAAGTAATATATTTTTTTTTAATTTAAACGTGTTATGTGGATAAAATGCGATATCAATATTCAAGATGTGTACAATTATAATTACCTTTGGCTCATCCTCCAATTCTTTAACTGTGTTAATTATGTTATACAGTTTGCTGAAAGCCCCTCTTTTTGTTTCGGGTTCAGATGATTCCTAAAAAAGTTTTATTTTAATATTAAAAAAACCCAGAAACCAATCATATAACTTACATTTCAAATAGCAACGATATTTATTGCCTGCAAGAGTGAATATGTTTGCGTTCGGTAAGTCTTCCGCTTCATTACCACTTACCATCAAACGGAATAGTTGATAAGTGCTGGCTTATACGTAGGTCACTCAATAAGTTTTAAGATGCTCGAAATTTAAAAATGGAACGCACTCGTGTTATGTTTCTAAAAAGCAAATTTACTTAAAAATAGAACTCCATAAGCCAATTGCTCAATATTAAAAAAAAAAAACTATTTTTCTATTAATTTTCCTGCAACGCTTCCCGCGTTTTTAATTTAAAACGATGGATCTTAACCGTGAACATTTGCGCGCTATGATACCTATATTATGATTTTAAATTTGGTTTAACCGAACAATTAAGTTTACATCGGTTACAGTCAGCATTAGGGGACTCAGCTCCATCACACGCAACAATTTTTAGGTGGTTTGCTGAATTCAAAAGAGGTAAAATTAATCTTAAACGTGATATGCGAGACCGAGCATCTGGTCTACTTTAAATCTGCTTGAATCATCGTCATTATCGTAATCATTACAGTTATCAATATTCTTTCAAAAGTATACTACTAAACATAGACCTCCCCGAAGTAATGACAGAAAGCAAGGCACAGACTTGAGACTCTTGCATCCATCTACTTCCTGCATCTTTTACCAGATCATCAATCCATCTAGAGGAGACCCTACACTTCACTTGCCGGTGAAATCTTGTCAACGGTTATCGGTTCGACGAACTATATGACCGGTTCATTGCCACTTCAACTTAATGATTCGTTAACCTATGTCAATTAATATTTATATCCGCATGAATGTCGATGTATTTTAGACAATAATTTATTTTTTTATTTTATAAAACTGAAGTGACAAATAAGCTTACAGATGCAGCCCCATCAGTTGGATAGTACTGCATGGCTTTTTTTGTAGGATAAGGGTGACAAACGAGCACACAGTCCACTTGATGGTAAGTGATTTCTGCGGCCCATAGACATCTACATCTATCCTCTATTACAAATCAAAATGCAGATGCGTTTTCACCCGTAAGGACTAGGATGGAATGCCTCATTTCCAGTATAAAGGGCCTCCGGCCACCTGCACTTACCAAGCGAAACGCAGAGGTAAACCTCAATTCCCCCCCCCCCCCCCCCCCATCAACATGGTAGCGGAATTACACGAAGAACTACCCCAGGAGGGTACCAGCACCCCTGGAAAATCCCTCGCTGAGCATCCACGACCATGTTATTCCGATCCTGAGCGTGGGTGCTCAGGCTGCCCCGCGTATTCTGGGGGGGCAAAATTCCGCTCAAAAGCATTACTGCTAGGGGCAAACTGAGCAAGAACACCAAGGCGACCCCTGCCACGCTATCCGTGAATTTCTGCAACATCAGGGGACTTCACTCTAACCTAAACGCCGTCCACTACCATCTCGAGACGGCGAAGCCAGCCTTGCTCTTTCTGACCGAGACGCAGGTTTCCTCTCCGGCTGATATTTCGTATCTCTCATACCCGGGGTACAAATTGGAGCATTCCTTTGTGCCTCGGGCTGGAGTTTGCGTGTATGTCAGAGAGGACATCTGTTCTCGACGCCTCGGCAGTCTTGAAGGTTCGGACCTGTCCATCCTTTGGCTACGCGTAGACAGCGACGACCATCCGCGCGTCTACGGGTGCCTCTATAGGTCCCATAGCGGTAATGCCGAAACAGACCGACTCATCGACCACGTCCAAATGGCTACAGATTTCTTGCTACAACAGGTCCCATCCGCAGAGATCGTGATCCTTGGCGATTTTAACGCCAACCATGCCGAATGGCTCGGTTCACGTCTAACCGATCATGCGGGGAGATCTGTTTATGACTTTGCCTTGGCATATGGTCTGACACAACTGGTTACTTCGCCTACGCGGATTCCAGATGTGGAGGATCATACACCTTCCCTGTTGGACCTTCTGCTGACCTCTCATCCGGACGGATATCTGGTTTCCGTCGATGCCCCTCTCGGCTCTTCGGACCATTGTCTGATCCGGAGTGTGGTGCCACTCACGCTCCCTTCGCGGTTGCGTTCTGCAGGTTGCCGCCGTGTTTGGCATTACAGGTCGGCGGATTGGGACGGAATGCGGTCCTTCTTTGCATCCTACCCATGGGGGGTTTGCTTCTCGCCGGATGATCCCAGCGCTGTTGCTGACTCTGTCACTGATGTGGTGCTACAGGGAATGGAACTATTTATTCCATGATCTGTGGTACCCATCGGAGGCAGATCTCAGCCTTGGTTTGGTCGCTCCTGTAAGACTGCATTACGCAGTAAGCAGGAGTGTTATCAAGCCTGGGCTGCGGCTTCGGCGACTCGGGATCTAAATACCAGCACCCTTAAAAAGAAGTATAACTTCGCCTCCAGGTCCTTCAAAAGAGTTATTGCCAAGGCAAAGTCAGAGCACATAGGCAGAATTGGCGAGAAAGTAGTTCGCCTTCCTTCAGGAACCCGTGCATTCTGGTCTCTCGCCAAGGCTGTCCAAGGGAATTTCTGTAAGCCATCACTACCATCTCTGCACAGGGAGGATGACTCACTGGCCCATGACGCAAAAGACAAAGCCGACCTTTTAGGCTCCCTTTTTGCGTCCAACTCGACTGTTGATGACGGGGGGAAAACACCGCCGACCATCCCGCGGTGTGAGTGCTCCATGCCGGATGTGCTGTTCTCACAGCGCTCGGTTCGCAAAGCACTGCTCTCCCTGGACATCCAGAAGTCGAGTGGGCCTGACGGAATCCCCCCAATTGTGCTGAGGACATGTGCTCCGGAGTTGGCACCGGTCCTAACGCGTCTTTTCCGGTACTCCTACTCCCAAGGCGTAGTCCTGAATTCATGGAAGACAGCTTTTGTCCACCCGATCCCTAAAAAAGGCGACCGCTCAGACCCATCCAACTATAGGCCTATCGCGATCACCTCCTTGTTCTCCAAAATAATGGAATCCATTATTAACTGCCAGCTCATCCGGTACCTTGAGGATCACCAGGTGATTAGTGACCGCCAATACGGTTTTCGTCGGGGTCGATCAGCTGGTGATCTTCTGGTCTACCTGACCCATAGATGGGCGGAGGCAGTAGAGTCCAAGGGGGAGGCGTTGGCCGTTAGTCTGGACATTGCGAAGGCCTTCGATCGGGTTTGGCACAAAGCGCTTCTTTCGAAGCTCCCTTCCTATGGGCTTCCCGAGAAATTGTGCAATTGGATCACCAGCTTCCTTGTAGATCGGAGCATCAAGGTCGTTGTAGACGGTGCATGCTCTGACTACAAGCCTATTAACGCTGGTGTTCCACAAGGCTGTGTGCTATCACCAACGCTGTTTCTTTTGCATATCAATGATATGTTGCTAACTGGTAACATTCATTGCTATGCGGCTGTCACAGCACTGGTGATGCTCTATACACCGGCCGTGCCAATATTTCTCGGGAAAACGTCGCTGAGTACCGGAACAAACTTGTGTCTGAAGTCGAGTCTTTGCTGAACAAAGTCTCGGATTGGGGGCGACTAAATCTAGTCCAATTTAATCCTCAGAAGACACAAGTTTGCGCGTTTACCGCTAAAAAGTACCCCTTTGTCGTATCTCCTCAGTTTCAAGGCACTCCCCTTCTTGCCTCAGCCAGTATCGGTATCCTCGGAGTCGACATATCGAGTGACGTGCAGTTTCGTGGTCACTTGGAAGGGAAGGCCAAATTGGCCTCTAAAAAGCTTGGCGTGCTCAGCAGAGCGGGACAGTATTTCATGCCGGCACACCGCCTGCTACTTTACAAGGCGCAAGTTCGGCCTCACATGGAATACTGTTCCCATCTCTGGGCAGGGGCTCCCCAGTGCCTGCTCCTTCCACTTGACCGCATCCAACGCAGAGCGGCTCGAATTGTCGACGACCGAGCCCTTTCCGATCGGCTCGATTCATTGGCACTGCGAAGAGATGTTGCATCCCTTTGCATTTTCTTTCGCATCTACCATGGGGAGTGCTCTGAGGAATTGTTCGGATTAATCCCAGCCGACAAATTTCACGAACGCACGTCGCGGCAGAACTCCCGATACCATCCACACCATCTGGATGATTGGCGGTCCACCAATGTGCGATTTAGAAGATGTTTTCTTCCTCGCACGACCTCCTTGTGGAATCGATTACCATCAGCGATTTTTCCGGACCGATACGACTTAGGGACCTTCAAGAAAAGAGCGTACTCCTTTTTAAAAGGCCGGCAACGCATCTGCGATTCCCCTGGTGTTGCAGTTGTTCATGGGCGGCGGTAGTCACTTACCATCAGGTGAGCCGCATGCTCGTTTGCCCCCTCTCCTATAAAAAAAAAATCCAGACCAGGAACAATTATTTGTAGGCCATACAAATACTTCGGTGCGAGTACAATTAATCAACAACATTATTGACTAACTCATTTAGGGATACTAAGCTAAAAACTTTTGTGCGAAATGTTTGTTGGTAAAAGTAATACACTCATTGTTTATAACGTTATTTTGAAAATAAAAAACTTTACTTACGTCAGAGTCGGGTTCTTGTAGCGCGTTTAGTGAAATATGCGTCATGAGACTGTCGTGGAATTCATTCATTCTTGCAATTAGGTCTTCGCCGCATGGGCAGTTCTCTTTATCTTCGTCTTCTAAGTGCTTGAAACCTAAAGAACACCCTCTAATTTATCGTCTGTTTAAACTTTAATTTGAATGCGAATTATTGCACTTAGGGTGATCACAGTTTGGATTATCTAACGTAAATTTTGAATTAAAAAAAACTTTGTTGAAAATATTCTGTATCAACGGTCCAGTGCTGGACCTTGCACTCTCCTACAATCACATTCAAAAAAAAAATGATCCACAAGAAATATCTCCCTTATCGTGAAGGCGTTTGACAAATATCCTAAGGAGAAATAACACATACACGTTCCGCGCGAAAATCAATCGAATTAAAAAAATCGCAAATCATTCGGAGTTGAATGCTTCGCGATTGCGTTGAAGTTTTAAGACTTTTTTTATTCTTCTAGATTATATCAAATCCTATGTTAATAGCAAAGGTCCATGGTAACAGTAAACTATAATTAGAGCTAGTGAAAATGCACGAAATGGTACACAGTCATCTAACGCAGGCTATGAGATCCTTTTTTGGCCTCTAAAATGCTCATCCAATACGATTACGATATCCACGGGCCTAAATAGGATAATGTATTCTCTTATGAGGCCACTATACGACCATTGATTAAGAATGGTACAGTTAAATAAGAATAATAATGTATTCTCAGCGTTTCGTAAGAGACGACTCGAAGAAATGCCCGTAAGGCTTTAATACCCTCGATAGTGTACAACTCTCGTCTGTTTTACATATCATCCAGAAGCAGTATCATAGATGCCAGATATCTGGTACTTCTTCTCATAGGACCCGTCTATATACCGCTACTTTACAACTTCTCTTATGAAGCAGCCACTCGCTTCCAGGGCTAATAATATTCCGATCACCAGATGTCGCTAGTTGACACTGAGGTAAAGTTTTTTTCTTACACAATGTCATTTAATTGAGTAGTTAGTTTTTAATAAAAGTTGATCAGTTTCTAGAGGATTATATTAATACACAAAACAATGACTCAGTGGTTTGCTTTTTAATTTTTTGCACATTTTTTACTTTTTTAAAGATTTCTAATTTTATGAATATCTGTGGGTTTGTTTATGGATTTTTAATCTTAATAATATAAAATATAGCTAATAATACAGAAACAAACATTAAATTTGACATTATTCGAACAAATTAACTTCACCGCTATGAAATCTGTCGAATATTATACTTCACTTTTAAGTGGCGCCGCCATGGTGGCAGAAAGTCGTAGATGCCCTCATTCTCTAACGATGTGGCCACATAGCGCTACTTACCAGTTCTCTTTCGACGCGGCAATACAGCGCTATTTTGCTACAATTATTTCATAGATAAACATTAAACTTACTCAATATCGCATTCATTTGCTCCCGTGGCGGACATCGGAACTCCCTCGTCTTTTTAGCTGCTACAGCGCTAGGAAGATCCGACTGCTTAATTTCTGTATAACGCCTGGATAAAAATTACAAAATATTATTTAAAGACATTTAGCAATTGCAATACCAATCAGAAAGTGTAAGAATTTTGTTTCTATAAACAAAATACCTTAACACGTATTATCAAACGGTGCGTACACATTATATAACATAACATGTTATATAACATGTTTCAGTAATGTTGACAGATCGTTATAAAATGTGTTATATAACGTGACACAAATGTTATATAACTCGGGAGTATTTTTCTCTAGTCAATAAACTATGTTTGTTTGGGACGAACCCTGTATCTATGTTTTATTGCAGAAATACAAACGTCAATGTCATATAACATTGTTATATTGCATTGTTATTTTAATGTGTACAGTATTGTTATATGTTACAATGTTGAAAAACAATGTAACATAATGTGTACGTGTTATAAAACAAAAGTTACACAACATGTTACTTAATCTGTACGCACCCAAATGCGTAGGACATTTTTTTTTGTTTTGTGTACATCTCAAGGTGCAGTATTTTATTACATTCCTATGTTTTTACAATAAATACAAAAACAAGTACGACAGTTTTCGTTGTTGACGTATTAATATACTTATTTTTTACCTCAATTGATCTGACTGCAAGTCACCAACGAAGTCGTGTGCGAAAGCTATAGTCGATTCAACTCTGTGCCTTAGCTGGACGTCGTTAAGATGCTGAAGCAAGTAACACATCTGCAGCTTGGCTCCTTCCGCCATCTTCATGTGAAGCAAACCCTTTCGATGCTCATCTTTGCCCTCTACGATAAGAAATATTATTGAATTTGGGTTTATATTAACTTTGATCGTAATTGAATAAACTACTCAATGTATAAATTATCTTTTTAGATTCCTTGTTATAGTGGAAAAGCCTTTTTTTATAGGATAGGATGAAAAATGAACACACATCTACATCTATCTTCAATAAAGAATCAAAATGTAAATGCATCGTCACCCGTGAGAACTAAGATGGAATGCCCCTTTGCAGTAAAACGGGTCTTCGGTTCTCTACACTCACCATACGAAGCACAGCAGCGTTAAGCTCTTATTTTACGCTGGTATTCTGTGAGAGCGTGATCCTACCCCGGTCGAGCCAACCCATTCGTGCTACAACTATACTACTAATATAGCTGCAGCATGGCTCTACCAAAAGCTTGGTTTATCTCTTATTTTTAGACTATGAGAGACGAATAATCTCAAACTGTATAAAATGTTTTAAAAATAAATCAGGTATATGAAATATGCGGTATAATTACAAAACGTATAAATTATTATTTAACAGGACAAGAGACATATAGATAAGTAACACAAAGAAGACGAATACTATTATTGACTTGGATACGAGTTTAAAAGTACAATACGAGACCTAAAAGTTATAAAAAATTCGCATACATTGACGAACATTGGCAGACTGACACAAACCAATTTCAACAAGTTTCTTTTTAAATTTTAAAACCAAACCTCTTATGTACGATTTTAAGAAACAGTGTCCTCCTTACCTTTGTCAAAAGTGGGATCCCAAGTCTCTGGGTTGATCATTATAAGCAGTTTCTCGACGTCTTCATCGCGCATCATACCGACAAGCAACAGTCGGTCTACTAATTTTATAAGGGGCCTGGAATTGACATAAAACAAGAGATAAAAGAAAAAAAATTGTATAACAGACTTTAATATAAATAAAATGAGAACATCGTCAATGTAGTCGAAGTCAATTAAATACGCATTATTAAGGATAACTCAAAAACTACTGGTCAGATTTTGATCAAATTTATATGGGACCACATGAGTTTATTTTCTGCCGACTTTCAAATAGGAGACGGTACTCAATTCGACTGTATGTTTTTTTATGTGTGTTTCCTCATAACTTTTTACTGGGTGAACCGATTTCGATAATTCTTTTATTATTTGAAAGCTGGTACTTCTCGTGTGGTCCAATTGAATCAAAATCCAATTTGAGCAAGGTCAGACTAACAGTTTTTGAGTTATTCTTAATAACGTATATTGAATGAATAAGCCATGCTGCAGCTATATTATGGTTGTAGTACGAATGGGTCGGTTCGATCGGGGAACGACCACGCTCTCAGAATACCAGCGTAAAATAGCAGCTTAACGCTGCTGTGTTTCGTTCAGTATAGAGACCCGGAGACCCTTTTTACTGGAAACGAGGCATTCCATCTTAGTCCTCACGGGTGACAACGCATCTGCATTTTGATTCGTAAACGAAGACAGATGTAGATGTCTATGGGCCACAGCAACCACTTACCATCAGGTGGACTGTGTGCTCGTTTGTCACCCTTATCCTATAAAAAAAAGTCGGCTGTACAAAATTTTTAATTTTAAATTATATTATTTCAAAGCTGGTGCTAGCTTTCAAAAAAAGAATCATCAAAATCAGTTCAAGGTAGAAAAAAGTAGGTACTGAGGTAACACACATATACACAATACAGGCGAATTTGAGTACCTTCTCCTTTTTTGAAGTCGGTTCACAAAATCACGAGCTCGCATGGGCATAAGTAGCATGGGAAAGAAAGTCTAGTGATTTTGAGGAAACTTAGTAAATTTCAATGTACAAAATTCCACAAGAAAAATGTTTCAGTTCTCTCGAAAAGGGTTGTCCTTGCAATCTTGTATCAAATATAGAAAAAATTGCTATAGCAATATCCATTTCACGCGTTCTGCAAAGATAGGTTAACTTGTGCACTTTCAAGACAGTGACAATTATGAGAGAACAGCTTGTCATAATAAGTTATTTTAAAATATATTGATTTCAATCAATCTACTCACAGGAACAGGTTTTCATTGCTGCCTCCAACGGGATCTCGATTGTGCACTTGATTAGTTTCCACCGCTTCGGCGAGTGCCTGCATCACGAACTCACGCACCACTTCAAGGGGGAAATACGGCGAGTAGAGGTTACTGATTTCCGTGATTCTCTCGCTAAAATACACACGTGGAAATAAGTATCTTTATAGCTTTTAATTATGGTGCTTAATAAAATAATTTTTTTTATTTCATTTATGAGTGCGCCGCGTAAGATGACACTTCATCACGCCATTTCATCCCATGGGCACAGAATTAATAATAGTACTATGTACCATAGGTATTATATACATACATACATACATATAATCACGCCTCTTTCCCGTGGGGGTAGGCAGAGACCAGTTCTTTCCACTTGCTACGATCCTTACATACTTGTTTTGCTTCGTCCACTTTCATTATTCCCTTCATACATGCTCTACGGTTTAGGGTACTCTTGACCTGGCCTTTTTTCAAGACGTCCCTGATTTGGTCTAGAAATGCCCGCCTAGGTCTACCTCTTCCAACACTTTCATTCACACTCGCCTTATACACTTTTTTCGTCAATCGTTCTTCATTCATTCTCTCGACATGGCCAAACCATCTCAGCATACCTTTCTCAATTTTTGTCACTACATCTTCTTTCAGACCACAACGTTTCCTTATCTCATTATTTCTTAGCCTGTCACTCAGTTTAACTCCTATCATACTTCTTAATGCTCTCATCTCAACTGCATTTATTCTGCTTTCATGTTGCTTCTGCCATACCCAAGTTTCACTTCCGTACATGAGTGTCGGAACCAACACCCCCTCATGCACAGCCAAAAGAGCCTTGTTAGACACCTTCCGACTGCTCATAAAGGAGTGCAAAGCTCCATTCACCATGTTTCCTGCATTCACTCTTCTTTCGATATCACTCTCACACTTTACATCTCTTGTAAACTTTGAACCCAGATACACAAACTCTTTCACCTGTTCAATTTGTTCATCTTCAATCACAATGTTGCAGTATGTCACTGCCACATAGGTATTATAAGAGACAAATACTGTGGTAGGAGCCAGAAAGATATTAATTCTTTCGATAGATGGCGTTATAATGGTTTCATTAATGCCAGACGGAAACTCAAACCAACGATAGGAAGCACCGTCAAACGTCCGAGACGTCTGGTCATGTGGTCGCCAACACCCTTGTGAAGCGTGACGATCAAGACAAATCCAGGGAGGATCCAAGGAGTTCAGCTGTGAACTTTTACGAAGACGTAGAATAAGAATATATTTATATACTTCATTATTATCATCATTACAGTCCTTCACAAGTTCACTGCTGAACATAGGCTAAAGGAGAGTCACAAAGCACGGTCCGGAGCCACCTGCATCCATCGTATTCTGTATGTCTTATAAGGTCGTCACTCCATCTAGTGGAGGGTCGCCCTACACTTCATCTAGTACGAAGCTGCCACTCGAGAACCTTTCTTACTCGTACCAATCGGTTGTAGAGTTATATACGCGGCACATTGCCACTTCAGCTTACTAATTAGTTAGGCTATGTCCGTTAATCTGCTTCTACTGCGGATATCCTCGTTTTTAAGTCTATCACGCAGAGAAACCCCGAGCACAGTCCTCTCCATAGCTCGCTAACGACCTTTATTTGTATATTAAGGAACACTAAACCTGTAAAGAAGAATGTGTGACGTTTTTCTTCCAATGTCAACCTCACCTGCACGCAGCAATGGTTGCCAGACTAGTTTCTGACTAACAACTCATAGCGGAATGTTAAGAAACAACATTACCAGTAGGAAAATATCGGCTCTACAGTAACCAACCCATTTGCCCTACGCATTGAGTATGAAATAACCTTTTAAGTAGTAAAGCAAAGCCACAGTCTATATTCGTTCCACTTTTGGGCACAGGTCTCCTCTCATTTCTGCGAGTATTAACGAGAATTATTTTATCGATTTGGGTAGAACCACGCCGTTACAGAATATAAGCGTCAATTAGCAGTTCAATCCCGCCGTGTTTCGTATGATGAGTGTAGAGAACCAGAGACCCTTTTTACTGGAAACGAGGATTTCCATCTTAGTCCTCAGGGTTGGCAATGTTAATGTCAATTAATCTTAGCTAATCATAATTAACTAATCTTAATCGAGGATAAATGTAAATGTCTATGGGCTACAACATCCACTTGCCATCAGGTGGACTGTGTGCTCGTTTGTCACCCTTATTCTATAAAAAAAGAGAATTAGTCAACCGCGCTGCTCCAATGCGACTTCAAGTATTCTCCAAATTCACATGTTTGACATCCTTTAAGTAGGTATAGCCTATTTAATGAAAAATAATCACTGATAAATAGTTTCACAATTGATGAAGATATCGTTTAACATACCTACATACAAAAAACATAAAGTCGAATTAAGAATTCTTCCTCTTTTTTTTATTCGGCTAAAAATACCATTATTAACAAAAAATTACTAAGAATGAGTCAAATTACTTACGAGATATCAGTCATATTCATTTGAGGCCGCACACTTTCGGTCTGCAAGGAACGCAAACTGTGCCTCATTACCGGATCTTCATACAATGCCTTTAATTCTGGTCCCAGTGGTATTACGAACTCGTTCTTGCAAGTTTCCCTATAAAAACATAATACTTAATTATTTTTATAATATTAGAGCGACAAAAGGTCTAACAGTTTATCATCAAGACCGCGGTGCCTGTCGAGTTTTGCTTGAGGAGATCGAAAGTGGAGGAAATGTCCTATTCTGAGGGGGGGGGGGGGGAGGGGGAGGGCTGCATGTAACGCAGCGAACGATAAATTAAATTGAATAAAAATAGAATATGGTGCCTCGTTTTGGAAGCATTCTATCTGTAAATAAAATCAGTTTCAATCAACAGATAAGATAATTAATAGAATCAGGCGTTACTTTGCAGAAAGCCATTATAATGAAGTTGTTATAACTTAATTTGCTTAATTCCGTGTAAAGAAATAAAATGATGTGTCCTGCCCTGTTTGAAGAGCACCTCGCAAGATTAGACAATTAGACTTAGCGGCCAGTCTACGCAGTGTACTTCACCTGAGGATGCGTGTAGAGGCGTAACACATCGTATTATCGAGAGTGGTGTGTCGTTCCTAGTGTGGTGATTTTGGGAGTGGTGATTCTAGGGATGGTAGTACTACAATTGGTGGTGACGGGGATAGAGCACGCAATTGAGAGAGGGTGGGCAGGGTGGGAGGTCCCCTTCGAACTGGGCTGGACTTATCATTTTATTTCTTTACACGGAATCAAGCAAATTAAGTTATACGAGTAACAACTTCATCCAACAGATAATAGTTATTCATTGGATAAAATACAAAATAATTAAATTAGAAAATATAATTGTATGAATAAGTTTTTTTGAATGACTCTCAGCCTTTAATTGTTTAAAAAAGGCAAGGAATACCAGCCTGAAATGCTGCTGTGTTTCATTTGGTGAGTGTAGAGTTTCGGCGATCCTTTTTACTGGAAAAGAGGCAATCCATCTTAGTCATCACGGCTGACAACGCATCTACATTTTATTCGCAAACGAGGATAGATGTAGATATCTATGGGATACAGCAACCACTTACCATCACTTGGTTGGACTTTGGGCTCGCTCGTCATCCTATTCCTATATAAAAGAGGGCCTTACGGCAGTTTGGTAAAAGGAAAATATAAATGACTTAAAAAAGAAAAAAAACATATTTATACATACATAGTTGTAGCGTGTGACTCAAGATGCAACGCAATGAGTAAATCGTAAAATCCTTGGCGTAGTGGACCCGACATATATTGAGACTGAATGGCATACAGAAGTTGCTTTTGGTCCACGTGCTGACATAATGCGTGAGCTGCCCTGAAATTTTATTATACATATTATTAATTTTTACGGAATTTAACGCGTTTAATTTTTATTTATTTATAATTTACAACGAAACAAATTTTACGGATTTTATCGCATTTTATTTTGACTTATTATTATTTTATACTATACACCTGCAACACGAATGGATTGGCTTGACCGGGGAAGCATCACGCTCGCTAAGAATACTAGCGTGAAAGAACAGTCTAAGGCTGCTGTTTCGTTTGGTAAAATTAGTTAAAATTAATCGCGATATAATTTATTTAAGAAATCATTATAATTTCATGTTCATAAAAATATAGCAACGTGTAATAGAGAGAATACAAAAGAAAGGAGTCGAATAAATCTCACCTGTAGTTGCTCTGGTAGCATAAAGCAGCGTACAAGGTCAGTGTATGCGAGTGGAAACTTAGTAGCTTGTCCATTTCAATCAATTCTAAAATGTCGATGCACCGATCTTCCTCTGTTGGAAAATATTATTAACTTTATAAATACGGTTAATGAAAACAATTGTTATTGAAACTTTTAAAATGGACCCGAATTTCGGTTGGCTCTCATAGATATCAATTTTTTTTAAATAATTACACCATTGACTTTAATGAAAATTTTATAAAGTACTCATTTTGCAATTAAGTGTAACTGAATTTGTTTTGAAGACGATATCGCCATTTTATCTTCAATTTCCGAGAACTAAAGTTCATTACAACGTACTCAAACTTATACACACCAAGAAATTAAAACAGTAGAATTGAACTCTAATGGACACCAAACGTGAAGATAAGTTCAAATTTGGAATTAAAAAAAATTAGACCCATTGCAACGACTTGGAACTAACTTTATAATGAAAAAAATATATGTAATGTGTGATAATCTTACCTGGTATGTGTAAAGCTAACATGGAGACAGCGTCCTCACAAAGCATGGACCAACCACGGATGTCAGACAGTTTGAGAGCGTGAACTTGAAGTGATTGGTTAGGTACCTCAAAAGGAAATATTACAATGTTAAAAATATTAGTCAAGTGAAAGCTATACTTTCAGAAGATCTTGGTTCTAAAAATCAGGTAATACTGTTTCTGTCAAAAACATTCTCAGAGCAGCCCGGAGTCAAGAGCTGGTGGCGTTTCATCCCCGTAACTTGTAAAGCACGTAAAGTCGTTGGTTTACTCCTAATTTTTCCCCGGACGTATCGTATTGTTGTCCCATCGGGCTATGAGAGTGAGAAAATAGAGAGTGCACCTGTGCTATCGTACACACGCGTGTGCTGTGGCTAGCAGATATATAGTTGTTGTTTCGTGACCAGAATTCGTTTTTTTTTGTTATAGGAGAGGGAGCAAACGAGCATGCGGCTTACCTGATGGTAAGTGACTACCGCCGCCAATGAACAACTGCAACACCAGGGGAATTGCAGATGCGTTGCCGGCCTTTTAAAAAGGTGTAGGCTCTTTTCTTGAAGGTAAGTAAGTAAGTAGTATCGGTCCGGAAAAATCGCTGGTGGTAATCGATTACACAAGGAAGTTTTGCGAGGAAGAAAACTTCTTCTAAATCGCACAGTGGTGAGCCGCCAATCATCCAGGTGGTATGGATGGTATCACGAGTTTTGTCGCGATGTGTGATGGAGAAATAAGCGACTGGAATTAGTCCGAACAATTCTTCAGAGCACTCCCCGTGGTAGATGCGATAAAATACGCAAAGAGATGCAACATCTCTACGCAGTACCAGTGAGTCAAGTCAATAGGAAATAACTCGTTCGTCGACGATTCGAACCGGTTTGCGCTGTATTCGGTCAAGTGGAAGGAGCTGGCACTGGGGAGCCCCTGCTCAGAGATGGGAACAGTATTCCATGCGGGGCCGAACCTGCGCCTTGTAAATTTAGAAGCTGTGTGCCGACATGAAATACTGTCCCGCTCTGCTGAGCACGCCATGCTTTTTAGAGGCCAATTTGGCCTTCTCTTCCAAATGACCACGAAAATCATCACTCGATATGTCGACACCGAGGTAAACCAATACTGGCTGAGGTAACAGTAGAAGTGCTTTGAAACTGAGGAGATACGAAAAGAGGTTCTTTTTAGCGGTAAACGCGCAAACTTTTAAATTGACTAGATTTAGTCGCCCCCAATCTGAGACTTTGTTCAGCAAAGACTCCACTTCAGACACAAGTTTGTTCCGGTACTCGGCAACGTTTTCCCGAGAAATATTGGCACGGCCGGTATATAAAGCATCACCAGTGCTGTCATCCGCATAGCAATGAATGATACCAGTTTGCAACATGACATTGATATGCTGAAGAAACAACGTTGGTGATAGCACGAATCCTTGTGGAACACCAGTGTTAATGGCCTTGTAATCGGAGCATGCACTGTCTACTAAGACCTTGATGCTCTGATCTGCAAGAAAACTGTAAAAAAGAAAACACAATCTCTTGGAAAGCCCATAGGAAGGAAGTTTCGAAAGAAGCGCATTGTGCCAAACCCGATCGAATGCCTTCGCTATGTCGAAACTAACGGTCAACACATTCCCCTTTGGACTACACTGCCTCCGGCCATCTATGAGTTAGTTAACCTAGAAGATCACCAGCTGATCGACCCCGACGAAAACCGTACTGGCGGTCACTAATCAGCTGCTGAGCCTCAAGTTACATCATGAGCTGGCAGTTTATAATGGATTCCATTATTGTGGAGAACAAGGAGGTGATGATGATAGGCCTGTAGTTGGACGGGTCTGAGCGGTCACCTTTTTTAGGGATCGGGTGGACCAAAGTTGTCTTCTGTGAATTCGGGACTACACTTAGGGAGTAGGGGTACCGGAAAAGACGCGTTACAACCGGTGCCTACTCCGGAGCATAAGTCTTCAGCACAATAGGTGGGACTCCATCAGGCTCACTCGACTTGTTGACGGCCAGGGAGAGGAGTGCTTTGCGCAGCGAGCGCTGTTTAAACAGCATATCCTGCATAGAGCACTCACACCGCGGGATGGTCGGCGGTGTGTTCCCCCCGTCATCGAGAGTAGAGTTCAAATCAAAAGAGCCTAGCAGATCGACTTTCTCCTTTGCGCCATGGGGCGGTAAGTCGTCCACCCTGTGCAGAGATGGCTGACAGAAGTTGCCTTGGACGGCCTTGGCGAGAGACCAGAATGCACGTGTTCCCAAAGCAAGGTGAACTAGTTTCTCGCCAATTCTGCCGATGTGCTCTGACTTTGCTCTGAGTAGCAAACTAAGGGTAAGATGCAAAAAAAGACCGCATCCCGTCCCAATCGGCCGACCTATAGTGCCAAACACGGCGGCAAGCTGCGATGGAAGCGTAAGTGGCACCGTACTCTGGATCAGACAATGGTCCGAAGAGCCAAGAGGGGCATCGACGGAGAGCTGATATCAGTCTGAATGAGAGGTCAGCGAAAGGGCCAACAGGGAAGGTACATGATCCTAATGATCGTAGGCGAAGTAACTAGTTGACACAACTGACCTAGTCCATATTAGGCAAAGTCATAAACAGATCTACACGCATGATCGGTTAAACGGGAACCAAGCCATTAAGCGTGGTGGGCGTTAAAATCACCGAGCATCACGATCCCTGCGGATGTGACCTGCTGTAGCACGGAGTCTGCAGCCATTTGGACGTGGTCGATGAGTCGGTCTTTATCGGCATTACCGCTAGTGGACCTATAGAGGTACCCGTAGACGCGAAGATGGTAGTCGTTGTCTACGCGCAGCTATAGGATGGACAGGTCCGTTACCACTAAGACTGCCGTGGCGTCAAAAACAGATGTCCTCTCTGACGTACACGCAAACTCCAGCCCGGGGCACAAAGGAGTGTTCTAATTTGTATCCCGGGTAGGAGAGATACGAAGTATTAGCCGGAGAGGACACCTGCGTCTCGGTTAGAAAGAGCAAGGATTGCCACATAACGAGGAAAAGAAAACAAAGAACATCCTAAACCGAAAATTTATATTTTGTGCGTAAAACTATGTTGGTTTTCGATCCTAGGGATACTTACATGCGGATCATAAACCTACTTTGCATAGCATATTTTATTATAAGCAAATCCATGTTTATAATATTAGTTATTATAATGAATAATACAAATTAAATTGATAAATTATGACGATAAATTAAATTTATTTTATACTTACTCGTGCCCACTGATGCGGCTTCAAGCACTGAACTTTAAGACGTGGAGGGAACTGGGGTATGACATGTTTATCGCTTGTCGGTAACACAGCGGCACTCAGCGGAAGACTAGTTGAAGATCTACCGAGCTCGATCTGGAGGATTTCTCGGGATGTCGCTTCCACGAAAATTGCGGGAAAGAGTTTTGTATCAGGCTCCATCTGAAAAACGATTAGCATTATGAATTCATATTGGTATTAAAATTACATTATTTATTAATAAGGCAAGTATCCACATTCATACCTAATTATTTATGATAATATATATAACAGTCTGGTATTGCGATCGCCAATGCGATAACAAACGACAATCATTCACGTCCAGTTATCCAACAGTGTTTTTTCTATAAAACTGAAGTGACAAACGAACTAACAGTTCACCTGATTGTAAGTCGTTACTGCAGCCCATTCAAACTGCAACCAACTTTAAAGAAAGAAGGAAAGATATGTTGTATTGTCTCTCTTTCTCTCTCTCTCCAGGACTGAGATGAAATGCTCCACAGCATTTAATTATACTGGTACTCTATACCATTTAGACCGAAACAAAGCATGCACTGCTATTCGGCAACAGAAATAGGTAAGAGGTGGAACATACGAAAGCTCCTTGGCGCAGTGGCTTAGCAATGAGTTGCAGCGCTGGGGGCCGCAGGTTCGAATCCTACACGGAACAAGTATTTGCATGACCTACAAGTAATTGTTCCGGGTCTGGATGTTTCTCCTTGTGAAATTTATGTATGTAAACTGCCCCCACGACACAGGAGAAAATCCTAGTGTGGAGGTAACGTTAAAAAAAACATACCCATAAACATACTCCTGGCAGAATAGAAGTCCTACCGCTTAATAAAAGTGCACCTATTATAAACTGATTTGCAAGTTTATTTTATACGTGGTAGAGCCATGCTGTAGCTATATTAGTAGTATAGTTGTAGCACGAATTGGTCACCTCGGGGAAGGACCACACTTTCACAGAATACTAGCGTAAAATAGCAGCTTAACACTGCTGTGTTTCGTATGGTGAGTGTAGAGAACCGGAGACCCCTTTTACTGGAAAAGAGGCATTCCATCTTAGTGGTCACGGGTGACAACGCATCTGCATTTTGATTCTTTATTGAAGATAGATGTAGATGTTAATGGGTCACAGCAACTACTTACCATCATACTTACTTTACTTACATACCATACATATATAAAAAAGTGTATTATCTTTAATTTACCTTAAACTTGATGCTAGTCTCTTTGCCTTCGCATGTAAAAGCAACAGTGCCTGTGGACGTATCAACTGAGCAGCCAATGAACATTCCTTGAGAGGCGCCTTTTCCAGTTGCTTCAGCCATTACTTCGTTGTACAGCTCATCAGCTCGCGCCATGTAGCAGGATTGACGGTTGACACTGGAAAGGAGAAAACAATTTTTATTCTCTATTACATGCTTTCACTATCGTCATCATTACATCAAAGTCCACTGCTGGACATAGGTATCTCCATAGATTGATTCATAAGGGGGATATATGCCATAGGCGCAACCGCTGTTTTTTTTCTAGATGTTATTAGAAAGACATTGCTGTCTATCTGATTTATTTCGCTTTGTTGCCTCTTACGACAGCTATTTTATACGTGGTAGAGCCATGCTGCAGCTATATTAGTAGTATAGTTGTTACACGAATGAGTTAGCTCGACCGGGCAAGGACCACGCTCTCACAGAATACTAGCATCAAATAGCAGCTTTACACTGCTGTGTTTGGCATGGTGAGTGTAAGAGAACCGGAGACCGTTTCTACTGGAAAAGAGGCATTCCATTTTAGTCCTCCGGGTAACAACGCATCTGCATTTTGGTTCGCATACGAGGATAAATGTAGATGTCTATGGGCCACAGCAACCACTTATCATCAGGTGGACTGTGTGTTCGTTTGTCACCCTATCCTATAAAAAAACCCACGTGGCGGTGGTAGTGGATATTAGGTATTACTCCGCTACTATACAGTACGCCTAAATAATATTTTATTTTATTTTCATGATATTATAATAACATTTAATTTTGAATATATAGGTATTATATTAATTAATATTTAATTTGCAGATCTAACTTTCATATGAGTTTGTTAACAATCAATCATAAACTACTAACCTTTCCATTACTCTGTCATATTCATCGGTGATAATAACAGACGATTTTGTGACTTTGTTTTGGTTAAAATCCTTCGAGTGAAGATGGTACTGAGTGGTCACCCATCCAATGTAAACGTGAGTTGGGTCCTGACCAGGGAATATTCTGAAAAAAAAAATTATCCTTGTTCAGCAATTTGCTTATTAAATTTACATAAGAGTTTTCAATAGAAAATTTTACACAGTTTTACTAATTTATATTTTAAAGGAGTCTTCAGTAAAATACTGTTTAATTCAATTACACTATTATAATAATATACAATAATTTATTCCCTTGAATATCATTAAGAGATTTATGCAGGTTGAGAAAATACACACAATTTCTAAAACGAACAAGAAGGAATTATTTACAGATAATGCAGAAAAAGAAACTGAAAGAATGTTTTCCAAAACTCAATCAGGATTAATTTTCATTGGAGCCTATCAAAGTCCACTACTACATAGGTCTCCCCTTAGATTATTTATTATATATATTTATATATTTATATATTTATGTATATATATGTTTCAATACGTGGTAGAGCCATGCTGCAGCTATATTATAGTTGTAGCACGAATGGATCGGCTCCACCGGGGAAGGACCACGCTCTCACAGAATACCAGCATAAAATAGCAGCTTAATGCTGCTGTGTTTCGTATGGTGAGTGTAGAGAACCGAAGACCCTTTTTACTGGAAAAGAGGCATTCCATCTTGGTCTTCACGGCTGACAACGCATCTGCATTTTAATTTGCAAACGAAGATAGATGTAGATGTCTATGGGCCACAGCAACCACTAACGAGCACACAGTGCACATGTCAACCTTATTCTATAAATATATATATAAAAATTACGTGTCACATTGTTTGTCCGCGAGGAACTCCTAAACTAATAAACTGGTTTCATTGAGGGGTGTTATATGTTTGTGGTGTGTATCTGTATATCTTTTGTGTCTGTCTGTGGCATCATAGCTCCTGAACGAATGAACCGAATTTCATTAAGTGTTTTTTCGTTTGATTTTTCAAGAAAATCTGGTCAGCTGTTTGAGAATCGTCTGATCATTTTGTTTCCGCGGTTTTTGAAAGATTTAATTTAATATTATTTTTAAATTGTTATTCGAAAGACGCCGCTGCCTGGTTTCTCCTCTGTCATACCTACGGGACGGTAAGAATTGACTACTTAGAAATAATTTAAATACTTAATTTATTGAAATAACTTACCTAACACCGTAGAAGTATTCATTAATAAGTTTTAAACAATCAGCGTCGAAGATCTCGTTGCCAACAGTCTCGGTAGTGGCCGCGGCTAACGTACTCGTGGTCATTTGTTTGCGCTCTTGCGGCGGTGTGGCTACTTGCAAGTTTGTCTGAAAAAACACAGATGTCACTCATAAGAATTAGTAACTAAGGTGCATTGTATACATATTAGTAAATGTTAGCAGAGTAAGTGAAAACGAAAACTGTCAAACTAAATTTAATATTAACCAATTCATTTTTACATGGTTGAGCCATGCTGCAGCTATATTGGTAGTGTAGTTCTATCACGAATGGGTCGGCTCGACCGGGGAAGGACCACGCTCTCACAGAATACCAGCGTAAAATGGCAGCTTGACAATGCTGTGTTTCGTATGGTGAGTGTAGAGAACCGGAGACCCATTTTACTGGAAAAGAGGCATTCCATCTTAGTCCTCACGGGTGACGACGCATCTGTATTTTGATGCATTTAGATGTCTATGAGTCACAGCAACCACTTACCTCGTTTATCACCCTATCCTATAAAAAAAATATAAAGTATCGGTATCATACCGTATGATCACTCCTCCGCGAGGTGGTAGGACATCTTTTCTGTCTCGAAGTCCGTTTGGGCGGGTTCCACCCTTTTACATGCATAAAATAAATGCAATAAATTTTTGCATTAAACTTTTTATTTTTTAAAAGGTGTGGTTACACTTGTGTTTAATATTATCAATATCGTCTGTAAAAGTTTCGCAAAACTTATTACAGATTGTTTTCATAGATTGTTAATTTTTCATATATCTTTCAATAATGGTATTTTTTATACGATAGTGTGACAAACATACACACTCCTCTTGATGTTAAGTGGTTGCTGTGGCCCATAGACATCTACATCTATCATCATTTGCGAATTAAAATGCAGATGCGTTGTCACCCGTGAGGACTAAGATGAAATGCCTCTTTTCCAGTAAAAATGTTCTCCGGTTCTCTACACTCACCATACGAAACACAGCAGTGTTAAACTGCTATTTTACGCTGGTATTCTGTGAGAGCGTGGTACTTCCCCGGTCGAGCCGACCCTTTTGTGCTACAATTATACTACTAATATAGCTGCAGCATGGCTCTACCACTGATGTTTTATTTTCCAGAGCCACTGGTTTCTTTTTCCCCAAACTCTGCGCATATCCCCATTGTTCGAAACACTCACAGCACCGATTGTAGCACATCACTATTAATTTGGTACATCCCTATTGTAACCTTTTTGTAACTGTCAAACCGACATTCTCTCTCTTCTATTAGCGAGTCGTGTGCAGTACTGACGCAAATTTTGTACAGTTTTTAAATTATACAATAAACCAAGGAAATTAATTGTTTTCAATTAATACACAACCCCAACACCCATTACTATTAATTTTTTCTCTTTATAATTGTTTTTGGCTTTATTTATTTATTTTCGTACTTTGTGCACTGCTGTGTCCCGGTTAGAAGAGTATAGAGAGCCAGTATAATTGCGGCTTTGAGATGTTCCTTCTAAGCCTTCAGAGGTAACTATGCGTTTGTAGTCTTATTTATTTCAAGTTGGTTGCAGATGGTCAGAGGCTGCAGTAGCCACTTACCATCAGGTGAACTGTAAGTCCGCTTGTTATTTATTACAAACTAGCTGTTCGCTGCGCCTTCGCTCGCGTGTTAGGGTTTTTATGTTTTTACGCGGATTCTTTTTAATTCTTTTTCTAAAATAAAAGTAGCCTAAGTTACTCCTTATAAAATCAGCTACCTGCCAGTGAAAGTCCCGTCAAAATCGGTCCAGTCGTTTCGCAGATTAGCCGGAACAAACAGACAGACAGACAGACAAAAATTTTAAAAATTGTGTTTTTGTTATAAGTACCGTATTTACTTTCATATGCAATTAGTAAAAAGCTATAATTTTGACATTACAAACAGACACTTCAATTTTATTTATTTGTATAGATATAGATATCAATATGGCTCGTGTCCGTGTTGAAGTCAATAATGGTAAATGCCAGGAATATCTCTAGGCTTCGTTTTTATTAAACGTTACCCCCACACTAGGATTTTCTCTTGTGTCGTGGAGGCAGTTTGCAAACATAAATTGCACGAGGACAGACATCCAGACCCGGAACAATTATTTGTAGGCCATACAAATACTTGTTCCGTGCGGGATTTGAACCCGCGGCCCCCAGCGCAACAACTCATTGCTAAGCCACTGCGCCACGGAGCCTTCTGGAGAAAGACATTATATATCGTACACTTATTATATCGCATATTATGTATTAGTAAAACAACTCGAACGGCAAAGGCAAAAGTGCGAGACGTCTGATATGGTGGTTGCAGGAAGATATAGACGTTGAAGTTTATTACTCGTAAGCAATAGGTCATACGATTACTATTATATTCCGCAAGGATTATGGAGTAAGATAAGTTGTTAGTTAAAGTTATATTTTAACTGACGTGGGTTGTAAAAACTAGTTTTTTTATTATAACGAAACATTGAAATAAGTAAAAAAAGAAAGAATACTGAAGCAGAAATAATGTTGTCAAGAAATTTTACACTAGATCATATGCACTTAAATTGAATATTAAGACATAATAATTATTGCGTGTATGTCATTAAAGCATTAAATTGTCTACAATAAAATGTTAAATAATATAAAGAATTTCATTGATAGTTGTAGCTATAGTTATTTATAAGAGTCTTTCAATGTCGATAAACTTACGTTCAAACCCCCCTGACTTCCATATAAATTGTGGCCATTAGGTCTACTGTGCATGCTGTTATATCTTTGGTTCGCCTTGGGGAGAAAACAAAACACATAACTCAAGGGTAAAACAGAAAAAAATATAAGAATCAACGTAAATAAATAAATAAAAAATCGGTCGAAAACTTTTCACAAAATGTATTCATTAAAATGGTGGTACGGAAATTAATAATGAGAAAGTGGTAAATATTCAAAGAAATAAGAGAGGATTTTCTATGTCATTACAAAGGAATATAATAATTGTGTTTAGAAATAGTTTAATAATATGCAAATTTAAAAGGTGTAATTGTAAATTAACTAAATATGAAAAAAAATTGACGAGACCTAAGTTTAAAACGTCATTTACGGTCCATAATTTGAAAGATCGTGAAAAAAATATGAAAGGGGAAACAAACATACGTACAGTATTTAAAAATATATACCTGTGAAATTCTGATTTGAGGATTTGGCCGTCTCGTACTTCCTCGATCTGGTGAAACTTCCGTATCGCTGAACGGATCGGGGGTTTTGGATTTGCGGGATTTATTCCGATCTCCACTTTCGCCACGTTTACTCCTGAAGAACCTAAAGGTGAAAAGAGGGTTACGTATGAAAAGTTGCAGCCTATGTATGTCTTGGGTACAGGTCTCCTCCTATTTCTGAGTTTTTAGGGCAAGGAGCGCTGTCGCAATACGTGGTAGCGCTCTACAAATGTCTTCGAAATATATTAATTTCTCAAATACGCAGCTTTCCTCGAGATATTTTCCTTCACTACCGAGCACGTTTTAAATCAGCACTTAAAATTGTAATTAACAATTTCATTGATGCCGGCATGTTCCAACCCGGGGTGTTCGCGTATTTATTTTTATAAATCCCGTAAATATATTATTATTTACGGGAAGCTCTCATGTATGAAACCACTAATAATAAATATCTAAAATAATATGTTATTTTTATTATTCTTAAATAATTACTTTTTTTAAAGAACTTATTAAATTTTGGAGACTTATTTAATCTTTACTTACTTGAACGGCGAACGGCCTCTTTTGTCCTTTTTATCATCCGGTAAATTGTTTACTCCAAGTTCATACTTTGCCATTTCAGCTTCGCTTGTCGACCGATGCATACCGTTCACTTGACCTGTGGATAAAGTAACATTTGACATACCTAATTAAAAAAAGCCACTTAGAAATATTTTATATTTAAAAAAAATCAGTATGTCGATGTCAGTAGATTCGTATAAGTAGATGTTAAGATTTAAAGTTGAGTTGAGTTTTAAAGAAGTTTAGCAATTCTTTCTATTAGTTTCGTTAAACATAATGGACTCCTTTCGCAGTACTTCGATAAAGATAAAGACAATAGTTAATAATTATTCTTTTTATTTGTAGATGTGGTTAGTTATTAATAAATTTTGTTTCGATTAAAAAGCAATTTCTTACAAATGCGTTTTTTAATTGACGCAGATTCTTAAAAGTTGTAAATGTTTAAAACATAAGTAAATAGCAGATGTATTAATGACAGGCGATAATGGTAAGAACTGTTCTATTATTATAAAGTAATAGACAACGAAGTAACGGAAGAAACGACAAGGGAAAGAGATGCAAGAAGGTAGCGAATGCGTTGGATCATAAACCTGTCTGCAAATTGTAATTCTGTATAGTGACGCCGCGTGTGACGGAGCCTTTCCTTGGCGGTCTCGACGGTTGACGCTTGACTTTGGAAGTTGTGGGCATTTCCTCTTGGTTCTCATCGTAGTGCAGACCTTGGGTGGAGGGGATAACAGAAATCAGGTGTCAAATAAGCATAATTGGCGTGGGCTTGATTAGGATGGTTACAGGGACAATGCAAATAAAACACAAATCAATCTAAGGTCTCAGTCTATTTTAATATTGTTATTTTCTGGTCTCATTCATAAAAGTTTGACAAATTTAGTACGTTCAGTAACTATACTGTTTATGAGAGAAGTCAACTGCTTTATTAAAAGTCTCTTATATAAAAATATTTTACGATTAAAAAATGTTTTACAACACAAAAAACAGAGAGTTGAAAGTCTATATTCTAGTATACATTCACATGATATTCTTTAACATCCTTTAACATAACGAAATGGTACGCTACGCTACGGTGCTACGGTGCACAGATAAAGATTTTTTTTAATAACTGGCTTTACGGCTCTGGGTTCTAGCCCTTCTGAGCCTGAAGTTACAAGGTTTAATTATCCTTCATAGTACACTGCTTCACAATATGTTGATGCGTCACATTGTGCAGCCCTTGGGAGATTTTGGCGGCAGCTTGAGCCAGCAGACAGCTGACAGTTGGCGATGGCGAAGGTATCTCAAGGCGCCTTAGTCACCTTATCTTGAGAATCACATCACCATGAGATCACTTGTTTTACCGTTTCCACTAATAGTTTATAAGCGCAGACACTTAATACACAAAATCGCACCAATTTTACATATCAAAATCCACTTCAAACCATTATTTAAACAATAAAGGAGCAGCTAACTGCCGCCGGTCAAGTTCCCGCCAAAACGCCTAATGATTTTGTATGGAATCTGCGACACAGACTAATTAAAAATTTTGCAAGATCGACTAATATTACTCTATTATGCATGGTTCCAATTTCCCGGCTTACTCTTAAGTGCTATAAAAAGTTTATAAATTTATAATTTTGTTCATAACATATTATGAATAAGTCCTTCAGGTCCTACAAGAATATTTAACGAGATAACTTTATTTAATATTTCAACTTCTAAAAAATATATTTACATTTTAACTGTTTGTGAATTTCGTTTGTTTTCTTTTGGTTTTTTATGTTATTGATATGAACATTTTAAAATGAGAGGAGGACGATTATAGACTGTAACTTACTTTGAATGTATATATTATGGACAAAATATGACTATAAGTATTATAGAATATAAAAAAATAGAAATACCTTTGATATCGTTCATTGTGAAGCCGCTCCTCATGATCTGATCGATATGTGCTGGCATTTGGGATTCCGTGGCCTCTTTCATTAGAATCTGTTGTCTTTCTTTGATTTCTACCCAACGACGAGCTTTTTCAGTCTCGCTAAATAATAAATGTCGACACTTTAAATGATGATGCTGTGATATTCTCTTAACCAGTATGATTTTTTTATAGCATAAGGGTGACAAACGAGCACACAGTACACCTGATGGTAAGTGGTTGCTATGACCCATAGACATCCACATCTATCCTCAATAAAGAATCAAAATGCAGATGCGTTGTCACCCGTGAGGACTAAGATGGAATGCCTCTTTTCCAGTAAAAAGGTCTCCGGTTCTCTACACTCAACATACGAAGCACAGCAGCGTTAAACTGCTATTTTACGCTAGTATTCTGTGAGAGCGTGGTCCTTCCCCGGTCGAGCCGACTCATTCGTGCTTCAACTATACTCCTAATATAGCTGCAGCATGGCTCTACCACGTAAAAAAGTATATGATAATAGCTCCCACAAAGCTTGTCATGTAGAAAAATTACAGCACTGTAGTTTGTCTATGTAATAATAACGTTTTTCAGACCGAATTTCAGTCACGATCGAATGTCAATCCCAACGGAGACTAGTTATCTCCGCAGAATAGGTTTATAGTGCACGAGTTTGTACGCAAGCACAATAGGATAGAGGCACTCTTAATCCGATGGGACTGCGATGGCACCAACGACATTAGCACTGAACGAGGCACTGGGATGAAGTGCCGTTGACTTTCTGACTCCGTGCTGCTTTTGAGAATTTCAAAACAGAATAACCCAATACTAATAATAGGTCGGTTAAAATCGATACTCATATATTTTTACACAAAACAACGAAACCATATATCAAAAGTCAAAACGAAGCAAACCACGATTCCTACTAGGGTTACACAATCGCATAGCTGAAGACAGAGAATTAATTTATTGCATAAATGATAGGTTTTCGAATGGTAGTCTTCGGCAAGCGAAGTGTATGGAGGCTCCGTAAGTGAAAACCTGTTAAGACAGAAAGTCGATGAACGCTGGTGGGTCCTGACTCAGAACAGTATTTAGGACATACGTTGTGGGAGGCCTATGTTCAACAGTTGAGAGTTTAAGCTTAGTTGCTTGGCTTCTACCTCACTTGATGGTGGTGATGTAGCCCAAGATTGTAAAGCAAAAGATACCCGTTCAATTACGAAAATTCGATTAAGATGTCATTTATCAAAATTCAGCGATAAGTTTAGAAGTAACAGTGGAGCATAGAAATGGAGATAATATATAAAAGTTTATAAGAATATTACTACTTACACTACAGTTGGGTAAAAATATGGAGCAATATCGGTTTAACGAACTTTATTTCTCATTTAACTCCTCACTTACATGAGAACAATATGTGTAATATAATAACTATTACTTAAAACTGGGACTAGACTTAGGACTGGGACTCTGTGACGGACCGCTACGGGCTCAAATGCAGAAGGCGGTGCTCCTTGATACCGCCCGCATCGTCCGCTGGTTTCTCTCTCTTTCTCCTTAACCCTCGGCTGTTTGGTCTCCCATGCTGACGGCTTCCATCATTCCACTTGGGTTTATATTTATTTACGTATTTTTATTTATGCCTTTTACTATATATTTTAACTATATTAATATATTTCCTATATTAGATAATATATATTTACGTATATTTATCATTTTCATTTATATATTTATGCAACCCAACCAGATGAAAAAACTTTATAAATAACCCACAATAATTTTAGTGCGTACGTATATCGATCGATCGTGAAGCATTCTTCTAAGTTGACGATCGTTCTGAAATGTTATCTTTTTTTCGAATCCCAACTCAATTAACTCGTCAAACAATGAAGGCTTTTAAAAAACGCAAAGGCATCTGGCTTTGCGTTTTTTTTAATTATAGTTGTTTGTGTCAAACAGCTCCCCATTTTTTTATACACGCCCAAAAAACGACTTATATCGTAATTTCTCCATTTTAGAGAATTGTTTATAGGTTAACTCATTTGATTGACCTACACACATGTATCATGCAGTAACGAAACGACCTATGCACAGGCGTGTAGTCTAGAGCGGAATGGCTACTCGCAGCGAGTACCCTGTCACACAGCGAATTCTCGCTGCGACTGCTCATGCGCAGAGAGTAAAATTGAACATGTTTAATTCAATTCGCAGCGAATTCAACTCGTGGCAAATGAATCTAATCTCAGGGAATAGCCTGTTATACATAGCGAATTCTCGCTGCGAATGCCCAATCGCAAGTATTCGTTATGTGTGACCGAGGCATAACTCCACGGTAATTTTAATGCATTGTTTCATCTATAAATATATTCAAATAATCTTCTTTTAAAAATATTGATCGAACTCTATATATTAATATCAATAATATTGTGATATGACTTACTCTATAAATTCCGAATGGCAAATCACAGGTAAAGATAACCGCAGGAATTCCCAGTTAGCTTTCTCCATGGTCTCGAACGTGTTGTGAGAAATCTTCAGGCATGGTGGTGTTTCTATAAAATATAACATTTAATTCAATAAAAATCTTTAGTTGAATTAATGCAAAATAAATGACCAGTGTGCACTGTGATATCCTTCGCTCTTCCACCATCTAAAATATGTGAGGACAAAGACATTCGTGATCTGATCAAATGTGAAATAATATCCAACGAGTGGAAACGGACCATTACGGTAAAATTTGTTAGATGATTGTTATTGAATAATCTAACAAAATTTTACCACATACATACGAGTATATCATATACATGAAAAAAATTAACAAATCAATTTTACTAGTTTATTTAGTAATAAAATATTTTTTATAACCTCTTGTACATATAAACATATGAAAACATAAACACTCACGCCTGTCGCCCAGAGGGGTAGGCAGAGACTATGGACTTCCATTTGGCACGATCTTAACACACCTCTCTCTCGCTTCCTCCACATCCATATACCTACGCAAACACGCTCGTCGGTTAAAGGTACGCTTAATTTAGCCCATTTTCTATATATCGCCAATTTCATCGATAAACTTTTGCCTAGGGCGTCCTTCCCGACTATCGTTCACCTCTGCAACATAAATTTGCTTTGTCACTCTTTCCTCATTCATTATTTCTACATGACCAAACCACGCATCTGCATTTGCAAAAAAGCATTGCATTCTTAATCCTGGTCACAATATCATGTTGAAAACCACACTCTTCTTTTATCACACAAGACTGAACTGAACAGAAAGTTATACATAAAAGCAAATTTAAAAAACCTCACCTCAACACAAATAATTTCTGTTGTACCATAAAGAAGTTTTACGTACATAAAAAATTGTGAAACAAAATTGTAAACTATACAAGTAGGTTTTAAGTATTATTTATTCCGTGCGGAAATTAAACCTGCAGCTTTGGGCTATTGCGCCGTCAAGCAAAAGGAAGAATTTTAGCATAGAGTGAAACATAATTTACCAGAATCCATCTCCTGGTGGATTATTCTGGCTATTTTCACAAAGTACTTTGATATAATCTAGTACTTTGTTAAAATTATGGATTCTAACTGTATGCATAATTTATTGACGGCAGCAAATATAAAACTTATTGCAGAAGAATAGCAGTTATGCAGCAGTGACCTTGACAACAGACAAACTGACAATTTTAAAGCTGATATGACTTCATCCATCAATCATCACATTTCATGCCTGAATGAGCCCCTAGGGGAGTCTAACGTGGTGCAAATAAAGGTGGAACAGGTCTACTATCTCTTTTGGTTAGAAATCTTACCAGATCCAGCCGGTATCCTCGTCACGTCGATCTTCGTGTCAGGTATTTCATCTGTGTTCTCGAAGATGGGTTGATCTTTTGTATACCAGTGTGTCACATCACGCTTCATGTTCCTGTAAGATTTTATATAATATCAGCTCATCACAGCAGGTGGGATTAATTTATAGAAAACATTAGTCAGTATTTTGCTGCTCGAATTTAAACCATATACTATTGCAATAAGGAACATAATCCCAATTCACATAATATGATAATTTAATCGCCGTGTAGTGGAGGTGTAAGAATATCTACTACCCCATATCATACCGTGGGTATCGTTAGAGGCGACAGAGGGAGACAAATCTGGAGATGGGTAGCATCTTAACGAATAAAAAAAAACTGCCATGAAAATTGACATGACTCCACATTAATAGATCCCGGGTCGCTACTGTATGAATAACATAAATAAGACAAACGCTTTAATTTCATAATCAGTGTTAGTTATTAGTATAAAAATGATTCATAAGTAATACTCACACACAGAACGGCTCGTATCCCTCTTGTAGACCACACGTTGTAAAGTATTTTAACGAGTTCACGTCTTGACCATACGTCAATCTAAAAGAAAACATATGTACTATAAATAAAGTCTAGTAACTTTTTTAAATAAAATTAAGAATAACAAACGAACAATGTCCATGCAGATGCTATCATATATGATATATATGACCACAACACCCACGACTATCCTCAATTAAGAATCAAAACGCAGATGCGTTGTTACTCCTGCTGTTTCACGTTGCTTTTCTGTGCGACCTTGGTCCTTCCCCGACCGAGCCGATCTATTCGTACAGCACCCTTAATAATACGCTGCAGTATGCATCTACCTTATGGCCTTATGGACAAACGGATGGTTTAATATCTAAGTATTCTCCTGAATAATAGGAATTTTTAAGTTACATACGACTTAAACAAATCAAAAATTTTAATTACATAAGTAATACTAATAAACATGAACAATTATTTGTAGGCCATAGGTATAACACATGAACTGGGTGACCGAGACTAAGCTCGGATGACGGCTAAACAGCGGACAACCGGCTATAGTATAAAATATAAATAAATCGGCAACGTCATCTCGTTCTTGGTAACGGCGCGATGACGGCGGCAGCTGACAATCTGTACAATATCAAAAGTCTGTAAAATGGTTTTACCACCGACTCACGGAAGCTATAAGACTTTACGGTCATAATTCTAAATACAATTTCACAACACCCACGGGATGTCCTAAAGTCGCCAACGTTCGACAAACGCTGTTTTCTCTTCGTCTCCGACTAAGGTTCATACTGCGTTTAATACATTTTTTTAACAGTCCACCTCAATGTAATAGTCTACTGTAGCCCATGAACACCTGCTGCTCATTTTCAACAAAGAAGAATACAGATGCATTATCACTCCTGCCCCCTGAGGACGAAGATGGAATGCCCCACAGCATGTAAATGTTTGCTTCGTTACTGGAAAACTGCAGTGTATTTAGCCTTATAAGGACTTATTCGTGTTGTTACCTAGCCTTTTGTCCAACCCCAAGAGTACAAGCTGGGACGAAGTTATCTCCTTGCACATCAGCGAACGTTGTCTCCCCTCCCAAAGCGTCCATTAACAGTTCACCGTTTAGGGAGAAACCTATAATATAAAACATTATTTTAGGAGACGTAAACTATAATACAGGAGCCAGTAACTCTTTTTAAATCGTTAACTTTTACTATGCTCGACCATTTATGTTATGTAATCGTATTACAATGTTTTGAGAATAAAGTTTTTTTATTTTTATTTTTTTAGTTATTTTAATTTCTATATATATTGAAATTTGTTAAATGAAACAAAATTTAACGTGCTACGCAATGCTTAAGCCTATAAAAATAAAAAATCTAAATACCATTAAATAAAACTGTATTTGGCATTTTGCGTAACATAATACATTAAAGGATTATAAAATATATTGTCGTGAAAAATAGTAAATTTTGTATCGACTACAATGACTTACTTATTTGACAATGAATTGATTTCAATAATAATTAATAATATGAGGTTAAAAACCTTTAAAACAATGTTAAATTTCGCCAACTAAATACAATTAACCTTATTACACGTTTATTAAAACTAATTTTAAGTATTTTATCGCGTTTAAATTCACTTAATTCGTTTTTAAACTTGATGTTTCGGATACTTTACAGCGTCCATTATCATTTAACTGTAAGCTCGTTCTGCGCTGACCGGACCAAAACCAAAAAAAAAAGTATTAGCTAAAATTAAAATATATTATCGGGTTAACCACGTGACTATGGGTGCTGTGCTGTAAAGCGTCTGAAACGTCAGGAATAAAAAAGTTAAATAGTCGGGAGAGGAATGAAGAACTTTGCGTTAGCGCTTAGGCTATGCGTGACCGCACATGACCCCGAGCGAGTTATGGTTGTAGCACCGCCGTCCGCAGTGCTACAGCGCCGCGATATTCGTGCGGGATGCGAGGGTGAAATCGTAATTTTTCTGGCTTAGTACCCGCGCTTAAAGTGAAATGTAGCGCGATAAAATCCGTAAAATTAATTTTTCTAAATTAACTTTTCATTGTGAGTATAAGAAATATAAAGGTGGCGAATTTTATTCTTAAAATTTTAGCTAATGTATACATAAAAATGCACCAAGCAAGGCAGGGATGCATTTATTAGTAACAATACAAAATGTAGTGTTATTTAAAACTTTCCAATATGTCTCACACTTACATCACTTAAAGCAAATTAAACGGGCACACTTATTTTTTTTATTTTAATAAAAAAGGTTAGATACATCAATCGCTTTTAAAACTACTTACTAAATAAATTTTTATAATAAAGAATAAGGAAACATTTATTTTATAGGTGCTGTTAGTCGCGTATTCCTTTTGCGAAAAAATAACTAAGAATATAAACTATTACGGATAGTCTATAAGATACCATAAAATGCAGTACCAGATATCAATTTGAATTCTATCGGGTTGGTCCTTTTTTTTAAATCTACCAATTCCATGATAGTTCAAATTAAATTTTTCAATTATGTCACCACGAAGGTTTAACATCATATACTAATAAAATAAAAGATAATATCATAACAATCATATGATTTTATCTGTAATGTGGGATCTACTGTTTTTTGAATAGCTTCCCATGCTGTGCTCATTTCTATGTGGTGAAGTAGCTTCTATACGAGGAAGAAAACAATTGTATGGTGCGAAAAACTTTCGAGAAAAGCCAAGCGATGCAGTGGTCGTATTAGGTACAAAGCTAATTTTTTTTACGATGTTTGTTTGATATAATGACGTTTAGCTTGAAAGCAAAATTTGTGAAGCTTCGCGTGAAATTCAAGTGGCAGGAATATATCTTAAGAAATAAAGTTATAGTTCATAACTAAAGTATTAAACGCCTTAAGTCATAGGTCTTTTATCATTTTTACGTACTAGAGCCATTATAGCTGTGTTACGAATGGGTCAACTCAACCGAGATATGACCACAATTCATATAATGAGGACCCGGAGACATTTTTAATGGTTAAGTGGTAACGCTATTTATTCATCCATTTATTAATACAGTCAGTACGATAAACAATGATACTGTAGTTTTTTTGTGAGGGATTTTTGTAATAGTCGTGCTTGGTACGCAGATTAAAACAGAAGTAGGTCATATCTGACCTACTTTGGTTTCAATATGTATCTATACAAAATCTTGTGTAGACACCTCACACCCTAGATGCTGCTTTTTGTCGCTTTTTTAGAATTTTTTTGGACCAATGAGTTTAGTAAAAATATCACTCAACTTTACACAGTTTAGAAAAAATATCATTCAACTTTATACAACCAAAAATCTGTATGCTGTTTGCCTAAATGTTTATAATAATTAATGCTATATAATATGGACGATAAATGACATGATAACAAATAAAATTGACCACAGTGAGTGTTGAAAATACACTGATTTATAAATTGATCATATGATAGAATTTGAACGCACACTATTTGCATAAAATGTTATCATGCTAGTTCAAAGGCTCAAAGGATCAAAAATCTTGGGACTTTTTCCCTATCACTTGATAATAGTCCGTAGTCTCTGCCTACCCCTCTGGGTGACAGGCGTGAGTGTTTATGTTTATGTATGTTGATAATAATCAATTCCAATTGATAACGAAGGTAATGGCACTGATAAAAAAATAAAACTGGCCATACCGAGTGCTGAAAACACTGATTTATTAATCGATACTGTAATAGACTTTGCACCTCTATGAAAAAGGTGCACAACCTAAGCTAAGAAGACATACAAAATAATTCCATATGTATAATGTGTATACATGTAGGATAACTCGTACCTACACACGTCATACATCCACACAAGCATACGCACGCTTTATATGTAAATAGCTTCGTTTATTTTTTATTAGTTACTAGTTGGTACCGGGCGCGTTTCTGCCGCAGGAGAAATAATTGTGGAAATATCGTTTTTTAAATTTGGAAGACTTATATTGTTTAATTAGCAATAATAGATAATACATTGTAATTGAATGATATATGACTTTTCTTTTTTCTTTACGAATAAATTTGTCGGTACGATACGCACGTCACCTACTCTAAGATAATTGTACTATAACCTATAACCTTTGCGCAAGTGCAAGCAACAAGTTGACAAAATTTTAGCGCATTGTGATGAAAGGTATGGCAGTGCTTACAATACGAATAAACAACATCAATTTTTATATATTAGAAATATATAATTATAATAAAACTAAATGGTACCCGGGGCGTCGCTGCCGCAAAAGAAATTTGGAAGAGTTATATTACTTATTTAATAATTAATGATAATACATTTATTGAAATTGAATGATCTATAACTTTCAAATAAATTTGATGATATACGCGCCATCTACTGTACGTTAATTGTACTATGCCTTTAACCTTCGCGTAAGTGCAAGCAATATGTTGAGAAAGTTTTACCGCAATCTAATGAACGGTATGGTAGTTTATAAAATACGAACAAACATTAATTAATTTTTATGTACACGTAATAGATAATTTCACGGAAACGTATCTAATGATTTGGATGAAGTTATTATAAGTACTTAGATAATATTTTACTTATATATCTTTAGCCAAGCTCGTTAATCAAATTTACTTGTTTCAATTTTCCGGTAATCAGAAATATCCTATATAGAAGTCTGACCTAAAGATTACTTAACAAAAAAAATCCACAAATTAAAATAAAACTATGTACAGTGAAGGATTTTTTCACTTTCTCTAATAATCTACTAATGTACCTAGTAAAAAGAGATTAGTTTGTTTTTATTTAATATGGATGTGATGAAACTGTTGATAAATCAAAAATAATATACAATATTATATTATATACAATAATAGCTGTGCCCAGCGGTTTCACCCGCGTCATCACGTGTCCGAGGTGCGCGACATGACCTAGTTCAAGCATTCTATAACGGCTAGGGTTTACGCGTCGTTTGCGCGCCCAGGCAAGTATTGAATTATTTTAATTTTACATTATCTATTAAACTATGCGTCCAAATAACATGGTATAAGGAACAAAGTTTATCTTCATAAAATTGTCTTGATGATGAAGTAACTTTCGTTCGTAAGGATAAATAGGCCATGCCTAATAATAACGCTCATAAATCACTTTTAAATTTTCAATATATTTTTGTCACAAAATACCAAATTATGGCTTATGTATAACAAATAGACATATGGTATCGTGTACTTTTTTTTAGACGGAGTAAAGGTCTATATTTTTCTAGAACATTGTATTTACGTATCCCTAACGATAACACCAGCATACGCGGATAAATCATTTCGGGAGTGCTTTTTCTTCTGATTTGCTTAACAAATATCCATATTTAAGGCTAGCTGAGTATTATAGCTTAATGCTAGATATCCTATACTATTCCACATGAATCTGGCTATAATATACAAAAAGAATTTTTCAAATCGGACGAGTAGTTCCAGAGATTAGCGCGTTTAAACAAACAAAAAAACGAAAAAACTGTTCCGCTTTATTATATTATAAGTATAGATTAAAAACTATAATTTAAAAAAAAACTAAAACTAGTAACTTAATTATCATACAGTCCTACTCCCCGCGGTATCGTGCCAAGAGCGCTGGCTGCGTTTCCCCGCTGAATGGCTATACTTAGCCTTTGAGCGAGAAAAGAGCCAGCCCTCTTATCAAATTTATATGGATTATAAAAAAAATATATATAACAAATGATAATTGATAATATTCCTGCCACGTATTTTCTATTGTCTAAAAAGCGTTCGCTAAATGTTTGTCAGTAGCTCCCAGCGATATTTACTTATCGTCTTGTCAATGAGATCTAGGAATACGCCCACTACGTCACCCATCGCCCATTGCTTGCCGAATGACTCTGTGCTACCGCTGAATACTTTCTCTTCCTTTAAATTGAGGAAAATTTCAAATAAAACAAAATTGGAAAATCTGATGTTTGATCTATATACCAACTCAAACATAAGATAACCATTTATCGTATTAAGAAATGTTACTTTCATTATTTATAATAGACAAAAATAACAACGTTATTTTAATCAATTTATCATCAATATGATAAAATTTTACTTTATTGTAGTTTTTAATATTCTGTACCTTGAATACTGCGACTAAACTGTAATTGAATATTAATGGACATCAATGTAAAAATGCACTTTATTTTGTGTACAATAAAGTGTATTTTCCCATAGCACAATTAACAATAGGATCTAGAGAATAATACATTGATATTTGATGAGGGAAGGCAAGAGGAAATGATCCTGCACGCAGAAACGGCAGTATCGTATGTTGACCACCTAAATATTAGTTGTTACCACAGATAAACATTGAATACATCCAATACAATTAATGCAATTGAATTTAAAATTTAAAATTGAATAAAGTGCTACTCTGATTATATCTATCCAAACAAACAATTGATTAGAAGATGAAGAATGATTTCAGAAACTTCAAGGTATGTTTTAGATAAACATTTTTCGCCTTTAAATTTGTATCAAATTTTTTTGTTTTGAATAAAAATTAATGGAAAAGAATAGATCAGAATAGCACCCTAATGCCCCCTAATGGTGGTAACTCACTAATGGTCTGGTCGAGAACGTCAAGGAAGCAGCCGACAATATCGCCAATTTTCAACTGCTGTCCAAAAGTGTCACTCGAACCGCCGTGCACTTTAAGCGACTGCATTATAATTAAACTTTAATCATCTTTTTTTTTTTCAATCAAGCAAATAAATCGACCAAGATTAATTAAATTTATCTTCAACGTTAAATTTTTTTTTTGCCAATAATGAAAATTTAAATTCTCGAATCAAAACTAACTTATAAAAGATTATTTTATTTTATATATGTTTAATTTAAACTCAAACCGACTTACGTTGTATCCATCAAAAGCCCAAGAGTTTTCATCCTGTCCAAGCATCATGCCTGGCGCCATATCTGCATGCGCCCAACCGACCTGAATGTAACAAATGCAAAAACATGTTTATCATTATTAATTTTTTTCTCTTTATTTATTTAGGGATTTTTATTTGTTAACACGTCAATCCCTTTATAACTAACATAAAATCTATATATTTACTATTAATCTGCACATACTCAATGCGATATCCGAGGTGAGTGCATGTAGAATAGCTTGCACAATACCCATATTGTACACATTTATATCTTATAGGTCCTTATAAATAATTCCCTTGCCCCTCGGTTCCGCTCACATTCCATTAAAAAATGATGTAAGTCTTCTATTACTCCACACGTTTCACAATTAGGTGAATCAGTTCTTTTCATCAGATAAGAATTTTTTTTTAAGGAATGTGACCTGTTCTTATTTTAAACATTATTTTAATAATGTTTCTATTTAATTTCGTGTCTATAAACCAGGGTATTCGTGGCGGCTCACTCTGTATCGTTTATCATTATTTTCTACCGACTTTAAAAAGGAGACGATGCTCAATTCGACTGTATGTTCTTTTTTTTAAGTGTGTTACCTCATTACTTTTTTCTGGTTGAACCGATTTCGATGATTCTTTTTTTATTTGAAAGCTGGTATTTTTCATGTGGTTCCATATAAATTTCATCAAGGTGTGACCAATAGTTTTTGAGTTATTCCTAATAACTTATATTAAAGTCGGTTGTACAAAATTTTTAATTTTTAATTATTTTTGTAGTATTATATTTATTACCTTTAATGTATGTCATTAACGAATTAAAAAATCGTTTTTTAATACGATTATAGAACGGAACTCTTTAAAATATAAAGGTAAAATACAATACGTTATTAATGGACTCAGATCTATAATAATAATAATTATGATTTTTAGTTTTACATTCATTTAAACCTACCCTCATTGGCCCGGCAGTTAGTATTTCGAACTCGAAATACCATTTTCCGGAACTAACAGCGTAGTTCTTCTCTGCGCGGTACGTCCTGAAGTCCGCTTGCTTTTGTTTAGACGCCTCAGCTAGTAGAGCTGTTAAGACACAATATTAATCAGTAAAAAGTAAAATATAGTTGCAGATTATTTACCTCCCACTGCTGGGCACAGGCCTCCTCTCATTTCTGAGAGGGTTTTAGTGCAAGGAATTGTCCATCGCGCTGCCCTAATGCGTGTTGGCGAACTTCACATGTCTTCGAAATATTTTTTTCACCGCCGAGCACGTAGTAAATCAGCACTTAAAATTGCTGATTAACAATTTCATTGGTGCCGGCGGGGATCGAACCCGGGTTGCTCGAGTACTGTGAAGCTTACAGCGAGCGCTAACTATCTGAGCTACCACGGCTATTAATCAGTCTTGATAATTATTAATTAGATTATAGTTAGTCACTCTCTATATCCGTCCTATTGCTGGGCATGTGCCTACTCTCATCTGAATGAGTTATGAAGCAGTTAGTTCCCCGTGCTGCTCATTCAGAGACATTCCATATAAGTCTTCAGAAGTGACAACGCATCTGCATTTTGATTCTTAATCGAAGGTAAATGTAGATGTCTATGATATCCACTTGCCATCAGGTAGACTGTGTGCTTGTTTGTCACCCTTAATCTATAAAAAAGTGTTCTCAAAATATTTTTATGTGAATTTTTCAGTTTGCAGTTTCCCTCGCGATATTTTTCATTACCACCGCGTATAGTACGTAAGGGTAATATTATGGTCATACGGTTAATATGGTCACCTTCTTATAACTCAACGCCTTCTTTGCATAGATGGCTCTGTGATACGATAGCTCTTCATCAGTCAATCAAATAAAAGTGTCAAAAGGGCGCTGCTTTATCGACGCCATTTTGACAGTTGACATTATAGTAAATAATTTAGTGGATTTTAATATTGTGTAGTGTATTTAGTTTTTTTCTTAATTGATTTTTCGAAGTGTTCCTAATGATTGCCAAACCTTGTTTGCTATTTTTTTCTTAATATGTTAGTTATAGTATACCACTTTGTGTTTTTGTCTCTGTCCTACTCCCAGTTTAGGTTTTATAGGGCGGCAAAGCTTAAGGTGACCTATAATTAAAGATATTACCTCCACGTACCTTAGTTTAAAATGTTCAGTGAAGTCAGCGGGGAACGAACTCTGGTCACTCGAATATTATAAAGGTTGACCAGCACCTCATTATTTTCTTCGCTGTTCAACCGTGGTAGCGGTAATGTAAGAATATCCACTGTCCCATTATTGTCACAGGTGGTATGACAGCCCCAGTTTTTAATTTTTTGGGTAATAACCCAACTTAAACAAATTTTTGATGATGCTGTTGCCCACCTTCTGCTCCATTTTCCTTTCGCCTTTACGATATAGTCGCCACTACACCGCACAGGTATTTATATCGTATGTATTTATTATTTATATGGATTATAGTATCTACTTACTATCAGGTGGACTGCATGCTCATTCGTTATACTTCTATATATGTGTATTTATATATTAGTTCTATATGAAAAAATATTTAAAAGTAGCAATTAAAGATGTAGATCTAAGATTCCTAACGATTCCGGCTCAGTGCAACAATCGCCAATGATGCGATAACCACTAGTTCATTCTATTTGGTAGTAGTAAAAGCCCAGCCGTAGACTCTTGTAAGAGTACGGCGACTTAGAATGACTTAAAATTGATCTTTATATACCTTCGTGCTGCTCTCCGGTAGGCGGGTCCAAATTGTATCCATAGACGAGCAGTGTCCGAACAGTCTCAGAGGCAGTGTCTCTGTTCGCTTTCTTGATCGCGTCGTCTACTTTCGGGTAAGGGACCAGATGTGGCGAACGGTGCATGTCGGGATCCTGGCACAATATTGAATATTGAAAATTAAAGATATCAACTATGTGTTAATCCTTCAATTTTAGAGATACTTGCTATGAAATTGACTTGGTTCGTACGATCCGTTCAATATATTGACAGTTCGGTACCACTACCTACTTGGTTCACTAACTAACCAAGCATATAGCACAAAGCTAAAGCGCTTATCAGTAGGTTGTATATAAAAGAAAGAAAGAAAGAAAAGAAAAACATACAAAAATATCTACTATTTTTTAAATGAAACTACTTTATCGACGTAGTGGAGAAATTTAGTACGGTATAAAAGAAAACCGTCACGTTTACTTGTAACGTTTCACCGCCGGGGCAACGTGAGTAATAAAACAAAAGTATAGAGTAAATATGTCGTAAAGAAATTCACTTCGTACGTACACATGTACACAATTGCACGCATTTTTTTAAAATTCTCTTTCAATTTATAACTGATGCTGTTCAATTTCAACGGCTCACATGTTGATCTAATAACGTATGTGTTGGTTTGTGTTGGTTCGTATACATTTCCAACGGGGACAGCCCTGAATTACGCAAAAAAAAATTGAATAAGATAATATTTTACGAACTTTACAAGATCTTTTTGTATGAATTAACTATGATAAGACGTCAAGGATCTAAACTCAAATATATATATTTAATAATCCGTCGCCGTAATAAAATCCGGAAAATTAGTTTTATTAAATATCTCAGGCCAAAAATAGACAGAACATGTAGTGCATTTCAAGTGACCGAAACCATATTCCTCAAATATTGTAAGAACACGCACTCAAGTACACATGCACCTAAAATCAAGTTGGTAGTAGTAAGTGATTACACACATATCTGGTAGAGCACGTGTTCTTCAATTAATTGACCATGGTTTTGGTGTCACTTGTAACACGAAAATTTTCGTGTACATTATTTTAGCATATTTACGTTATTACATGCGATGAACAGACTTCAGAGCGCCATCTAACGTCATTAGTCCGAAGTAACTAGAAACGTATATTGACGAATCGAGCTAGCTAATTGCATGCAATTGACCTTTCGTGTTAGTTCGAAATCCTACCACGGATCGACGGTGGCGTGTAGCCCAAGGGAGGCCTAGTTCTTTTTGGAGCGAGCCGTTGTAATGATCGGACACGCACATATATAATTTTTGAATCGAAACGCCGGAACATGAATTTAAAGTGACGACTACTTGGGCGTACGGCCCCTTAAACACAATGTCTACGGGCAGTTTAATGTGTTGAAACACATCATCCCATAAATTGGGTCCTTAGTCCTTAGTCCTTAGTCCGTACTTTGAGTATGGTCCATTATCAAGTTTAACAATGGGAACGAGGCGAGGCAGCTTCAACGGGTGGCTATATTGGGACTGGGCGGCCAGGAGACCGCGACTGGCGTACACCTGGAGGATATCTGTTGCCTCACTGCTTCGCGGGATTGACCATAAACAGTGTAATATTGTGTAATCCACCAGGTTAGTCAAAACCTCAGTTCGTAGGGTATTTTAAAGTGAAAACTTGATATTTGGAGCTATATATGTGAACCGTAGAAGGAAATAAACTACTTTTTGTCTGTATATGTATCTTAGCATTTTCATTTACTAATCATCCAACAACAGGCGCCCTGGGATACTTTTATTTTGATCCTCGAGTCCCTTGACTCTCCGATAACCGTAGCCGGTGAGTAACGCCCTAAAAAGTGTTATAAAGTGGCTACCCAACGTTGAACCTTAAGTTGCTGGATGTTAGTAGATGAATTAACCTTAATTGTAACTATTTAAGCTGTTAAAAACCCATTTAATATGAAAACTTAGTGAAATTTAATGTTAACATTTTTTTTTCTGATGTAGGTAGATTTAAGTAAGCTTGAGAACAAAGAAAGTTTAACTTGAATATGATTTATATGTACTTAAATGAATTAAAACTTAACATAATAAAAATATTTGTGCTATTTTAAGTAGATATTTTTAATATCAACCGATTTAAGACTTTCTTGTAACCGTCAGTACATTTTAACAAAATGTCGATCCACAAGTATATAGACTCATTACATAAAGATGAAATCAGATATGAACTCGCCATTATTGGTATTTCCACAGATGAAAATGTAACCACCGATACAGTGAGGAAGCAGATCCGCCAGGTGTACAAACTCGCACGCCGTGGAAGCATAAAGTGTGAACCACTCCAGTCACCCAGTATAGCCTCTGAACTAGAGATCTGCACCCCAAAGGTCGAACTTCTGGAATCCCAGCTGCAGGCGGGTAAAGTAGATGATCGCAATTTGACTCTTAAACTGTCTCGTCGTGCAAATTATTTGATGGATATACTTGCTCGTATCTCTGAAAGTAGTTCGTATTTGTCAGATCTCCGTAGTCGATTGATTCGCATTTTGAGTGTCATAGACGGTGAAGATAGCGACACGGATAGTGAGTACAAGGAAACCCGGGCACAGCCGTCTAACCAGAAAGTGGACAGTAACGTGATCTATGTGAAAGATAAACCCTTGAACCTAAATACATTTAACTTAAAATTTGACGGAACCACGTGTGTTTGAGTGTTTGTGTGTTGAGTGTGGGTGTGTCTTGAGGAACTTAAAGAGGCTCGCAACATTACTGAAGCTCGCATACTTTCAGCTTTTTCTGATCTTTTAGAAAACTCTGCTTTATGTTGGTTTAGAAGTAATAAGGATAATATCCACTCATATTCACAATTATTGAAATGCTTAAGGGACGACTTTGATATTCCCGATTTAGACTATAAACTATTAAATGAAATAAGGCAGCGTACACAGGCCAGACACGAAACGATAGTAGTCTATCTTTCCATTATGCAGGGAATGTTCTCGCGACTCACTCAGCCGTTGTCGAGTAGACAACAACTCGAAATCTTGATGCATAACATTAGACCAGAGTACATGAAAGATTTAGCTTTACATGATATAACCTCTGTAGACAAACTTAAACTTTATTGCAAACAGTTAGAAATTGCGCGGTCGCGTGCGGAACAATTTAGTGAACCTAACTTGAATAACTTTAAAATTACAGCGGACTTAAATAAACAAACGCCGCGATCTCACAGTAAACAAGTCTCTGTGCTGAATGAAGCTGGCTCTTCGAGGCAATTGGATAGGAAATGCTTTAGGTGTGGATTAAACACTCATTTCACCAATCAATGCAATTCGAAAGAGTTAGTGTGTTTTAAGTGTGGATTAAAAGGTGTTAAGCGTTCAGATTGTAGTAATTGCAATTCAAAAAACTAGTTAACACGGAACTATCCAACAACTTTAATAAAAATAGGTCTTATACGTCCAATAATGAAGAGTAATTTTTTTAAACAGAACTATGTTTAAAAAAAATACTAGGGATATAAGACCATACTTAAAATTAAAAATATTGAACTTACAAGCTTTTGGCTTATTAGATTCGGGTGCAACTTGTAGCATTCTTGGAAATAATGCGCATTTGATCTTTTTAGAACGGATTTCAACTCAACTGGTTTGACACTGAGCACTACGTAAGAACTGCTGATGGTACGAGATTGCATTGCTTAGGGTATATGTCCTTACCTATTGAATTTAACAATAATTTCAGAGTGATTAACTTTTATGTTGTTGCACAAATAACTTCACCTATAATTCTAGGTGTTGATTTTTGGCAGGTGTTTGACTTAGGGAGTGACCTTGTATCCGAAGTACAGTTTGACCGAAAGTCGAAGTCATCAATATGTAATAGCATAAATTCGGTTTCTCTTAATAAAGGCCTTGAAGAATACGAGTCTTTATCCATAGAACAAAAACAAATCATGGATAAGTTAGTCCAACAGTTTGATACAATTAACACAGTTAAAGTAGGTTTGGGACGTACCAATTTAATTCATCACGTCATAGACACAGGGGATAGCAAACCTATTAAGCAAAGGTACTATCCATTATCACCTGTTAAGCAACTAGCACTTGAAAAAGAATTGGATAGAATGCTTAGTTTGGGAGTTGTGTCACCTTCACAGTCGGCTTGGAACTCACCTGTAGTAATGGTTCAGAAGCCAAATGGGGACCTAAGGCTTTGTCTAGATTGTAGAAAATTAAATGCAGTTTCCAAACCCGATGCGTATCCTCTCCCGTATATAAGCAGCATATTGGACCAGCTCCGCGATGCGAAATACCTAACGTCAATAGATCTTTCCGCTGCGTATTGGCAAATACCCTATGATAGCGAGCAATCAGCTGATAAGACCGCGTTCACAGTGCCACGTAGGGGGTTATTTAGATTCAATGTAATGTCGTTTGGCCTTGTTTCCGCGTCAAGCACAATGCAGAGATTAATGGATAGGCTATTTGGTCCCGAATTTAACAACAAAGTATTCTGTTTCCAAGACGACATAATCATAATATCCAGCACTTTCTCAGAACATGTGCAGCTCTTGCATAAGGTCTACGCAAAACTCAGGGACGCAAACTTGACTATAAACATGGATAAGTCTATCTTTTGCCGTAGAGAACTTAAGTACTTGGGATATTTAGTTGACAAACATGGACTTAGAACTGATCCGGGAAATGTAGATATTATATTGAATTATCCAACTCCAACTTCCGCTAAAGAGGTTAAAAGGTTTCTAGGCATGGCAGGCTGGTACAGGAGGTTCATTAACAATTTTTTGAAAATTAGTAAACCGTTCAATAAGTTAACTAGCAAAAATGTCCGCTTTGAATGGACTACGGAGGCAGATGAGTCATTTAACCACTTAAAAACCGCTTTAGTGTCTGCTCCGATACTTAAATGTCCAAACTTTGATTTGCCTTTTTCTATCCATTGTGACGCTTCCTTAGTGGCTGTGGGCGGAGTCTTAACCCAGACTTATGACGGGGTAGAACATCCCATAGCATACTGCAGTCGGTCTCTTGCCAAAAATGAAATTAATTTTTCCACATCGGAGAGAGAACTTATGGCCGTGATTTACGCATTAGATTAGCAATTTAGATCTTA